CCCACACAGGTGCTGCCATTACTGCGGACGGGCAGGCAGTCGCGGACGGAAAGAAGCCTCTGGTCATCCCCGTTACGAGCCAGAACAACTGGCGTGACCGACCGGGCGTAAAGAAAAGCAAGAATCTGCTGCCCAGCGAAGTGCAAGCTATGCAGGAAGCACAAAAGAGCGGACAAGCACCTCCCGGAGAATCTACAGTAGAGACAGATACGCCCAGCATGGCGTACGGGTTGAGCTTTGCACAGCAGTCTGCAGAAAAGGCAGATCGTGGCGCAGCAGTGGACGAAGACCAGGTCATGCCTGATGCGAAACCTATCGCGACCAAGCCCCTCACCGACGACGAGATTGCCATGCAGGCGCTGATTCGGGAAACCACGGGTGAAAACGAACGGAGATCAGACCTTGTGATTGAGTCTGCTAAGAATGGAGGGGAAGGCGACGAGGAAGCACCAGTCCAACACAACGAGCTTGGATCTTTCCGAACAGATGTGGCATCCCGGCCTGAGCCTGCCAGTTTGGACGCCTACAATGCTATTCCTGTTGAGGAATTCGGAGCCGCGCTTCTACGAGGAATGGGTTGGAAAGATGGTCAAACTATCGGACGAGGCAACTACAGCAGTGCCACAGCTGCAGAGAAAGCAAAAAACCCCCGTGTCCCAGAGCGACGACCCGGATTCCTCGGCATTGGCGCAAAGGATTCCTCCGGCGGTAAAGGAGCCGAACTCGAGCTTGGAGCTTGGGGAAAAGCGGCTATGCGCAAAGCGTCGAGGAAACAGGGTGGTGAGGACGACAAGGCTGAGGGTGTGTACATGCCCATCACGATGCGGAATAAGAAAACCGGCGAGCAACTCACCGAAGCGGAACTCGCTACTCTACAAAAGGAGGCCAAATCTCAGCCTCCCAAGGAAGACGACTGGCGCGAGCGACGGGATCGCAACCTTGAGAAGAGCGGCCGGGACAAGGATCGAGACCGGGAATACCGCAAACGTGACTACGACGATGAGGAGGATCGTTCTAGGCGGAAGACTGGGTCCTCGCGACGTGACCGCAGTCGGTCTAGTGGCCGCCAATCTTCTAGTCGCTCCTCTCGATATGATGATGATGATAAAGGCAGACGGGACGACCGTTCCTATCGGGATCGAGATTACAACCGGGATCGTCGCCGGGACCGCGATGATTATAAGGATGACCGAAAAAGAGATGGAGATCGAGAGCGGGACAGGGACCGCAGCCATCGGTCTCGAGATGAGAGATACAGCAGCTCGCGGCACTCGTCTCATTCATCTCGGAATGACCGAGACCGTGATCGTGATCATGATCGCGACTCTCGTCGGAGTCGCCGCGACGATTAGAGGCCGGATGATTTTGGCTAGGGGATTGAAAGGCATTGATGCCTTTGTACAGGACAATCTGCTGCTTCTTTGAAACTACATATTCCCTCAGTCTAGTTATTTTACCACGAGACTCAACCAAATAAAGATACCCTGAACAATCAAAATATATCGCTTTGGCCAAAGAACACTTTCCATGATACACTGTTCAATTCTATAAAGAGATGGCTTTTATCCTTCCCACCCATGGTACTCCAAGAACGAAAGCGCCAAATTCAATGTACAAACAAGGTAAAAGACTAAAGCCAGACTATGCTTCCAACATAATAACGTCCTTCTCATGCTCTTCCTCCTCACTGACATCGCCCACAGTCAAATCACGCAGTCCACCGAGTCCAACACCACCATCCATCTCACCGAGAACCCACTCCACCAGGTAGCTGTCATCAACCAGCTCCTCAACTCGGCGGTAGTGTCTTTCAGTGTACGCAGCCAGTGCCTGCAAGATATCCTTCATACCAGCCGCGGCGCGACCCTCCTTGCCGCGGACGGACTGGGTCGCAAGCTCCACGAAAGTGGACGCAGGGTAAGAGCGGAACAGGGCATACAGGATGCGCTGTGAGACACGCGAAGTGCGTGCATTGGTGTTCCAGTCCCGGAGACGGAGCAGGAGAGTGCGCAGATTAGCAGGGTCCAAGTTCTGCAGGACCTCGTCGATGGACGGGTTACCGGACAGACTGGCTGCAGCACGCTCGCGGTCCTCGGCCGGGACGGTTGGGTCATCTGCGGCGTTGATGGCGGAGGTGAAGAGCGAGAGCAGTCTACCCGGGTGGTTAAGTTGCAGGGCCAGAGTGATGGCTTCACGGTAGGCACCGGCGCGGATGTAGTTCTGCAGCTCTTGGTCCTGTTCGACGCGAGCAGAGCTTGCGTTGACAGCGGCTGTGTAGGTGGATGATGTAGTATCAGTCCAGAAGGTCACTGTTGCGTCGGCAGAACCAGAGGCAAGGGCGTAGGGAGTGGTGTTAAACTTGGAGGAGATTTGCTTCACGTCTGCGCGTGAGCCGGATGGAGTTGGGCTGGCAAGCGCCCAGACTCGGTCGATGTGGTTGTCCAGGGTGGTTTCGAGCTCGCCTGTGTAGGGGGACCAGATCTTGACCAGACCGTCTGCGGCGGCGGAGGCGATAAGGGGTCGGTCCTGGATGGCGTTTTTGCGTGCTGTGGCAGCCTCTTCATCTTCCTCGTCGTCGAGTTGGCTCGAGACCTGAGGAGGTGGGAGCCAGAGGACTTTGAGAACACTGTTGGTATGGCCCTCGAAGGTCAAGAGACAGCTGTAGTCAGACAGACTCCACAATTTGACGGTCTTGTCACCTGAGCCTGTGACTGCTAGGCCACGGCTCGTGCTGGTACGTGAATCTGAGTTGATGATCGGTGTGCCTTGCGGGGCGAATCGCACCGACCAAACACCTCGCTTGTGGCCACGGAGGACACCAACCGACGAGCCTTCGTCAGCGGCCCAGATCTTCACGGTGCGATCTTGTGACGCGGAGGCAAATAGTTCAGATGTAGAATCGATGTCAATGGCATTAATATCCTTTTCGTGAGCCTTGCGAGTGTAGGTTGCCTTAGGATGGTGTGGCTTATCTCCTGTCAGGGGAGCTAATTTGCTTGTATCCCATCGCTTGATTGTGCGATCCTGCGATCCAGTAATCAGGAATGCTGGTGGGTGGTTCACGGGGTCATTATATGCGGCACTGCCAACAGGAGGTGGGACGCGAGGAAGGGCGATTGCTCCCAATGACTCGGCGTGACCAGTGAAAATAGCAAAGCAAGTATAAGAGGATGTCTTCGGGTCAATACGCCAAAGACGGGCTGTATTGTCTTTAGCGCCGGTTGCTAGCCAGTGTCCTGACCAATCTGCATCAATACAAATGATAATATCGTCGTGGCCTTCCAGGTGTGTGACATCAGCACCAAAGTACTCCTCTCCCTGAGTTGATGGTCGGTCTTCCGAAGGGGCAACTGAAACTACACGAATACTCTCGGTGTTGGTGGCCAAAGCAAGCATCGATCGATCAGGCCCAATGTAAGCCAAGTCGATAATCTCGTCGTCATTGCCGGAGATGCGGCGGATAACCGGCAAGGGCTCCAAAGTTGACCCTGGCTTATAATCAGAGAGCGACTCGAGCGAGTGGACCCGGAGAGTCTGATCCGCGTGGACGGTGAGGACGAAAGGTAACCCAGGCGAATACTGGATAGCGACGACACTTTCGAACTCCTCTCCAGCTTCTTGTTCCTCTGTGATCTCGCTTCCACGATTGCAGTCCCAAACTCGCAGTTTGCCATTTTCTCCACCGATAACGCACAGTCCACTATCCGCAATGAAAGCCGCGGCTTCCACGCTCTCCAAAACAGGAATGATTCTGCGAGTCTTCCAAGTACGCGCATCCCAGACGATGACAGTCTTGTCTCTGCTGGCCGAGATCAATGCGTTCTCTGACGGAGAAAAGGACAAACTGCGGACAAGTGAAACGTGTGACTCGAGCGACGCAATGGACTTTCTCTTGTGCAGATCCCATACACGCATTTTGCCATCTTCACTGCCAGATGCTAAGCGGAATCCTGCAGTAGAACCAGTACGGGCAGAGCCCTCCATATCTTCATCATCATCCCCCGTAGCCTGTTGCTTAGACTTGTTCTTCTTAGATGACTTGGGATCGCTGTCGGCAGTAGGAACCTCGAAAAAGCAAAGCGCAGAAATAACACCACCATGACCATGGAAAGTGTGAGTGACAAAACCGCCCCTAATATCCCAGACCTTGATTGAGCCATCTGCACCACCAGTGGCGAGCAGTGTGCCAGTAGGGTCAACAGCAATGGTCACAACGGGAGCCGTGTGAGGCTTAAGGGTTCGGAGAAGTTTTGCTTCAATGGTCTGGGAAGTCTCGTCGAAATCTGGGAGGCCGTAGATTCGCATGGACATCGAGCGCGAGCAGACAATGGCGTGTGAGGCGGAAGGCGTGACTAGGCGAATTGTCAGTCTTTTATTCTCATTCTCAGGGCATACAATACTTACTGGCCAAACCTGTGACAATTTCTCCATCCTGCAGCGTTCATGTGGTTAGCGCTTTACAATTGACGAATACTCCAAGGTGACAAAACCATACTCCCTCCAGACTAGCAAGCTGGTTACCAGTCTCCAAATCAACGATCAATGCATCTTCGCCCACGCAGCTCAGCAAGATGCGCCCACTGGCATCCAGCGCGGTGCTACCGCCAGTGTAAATGGGGCGGAGCGTGCGGGACGCCTCGAAAGTGGTTTTGACGATAGCTTTCGACATGACTCTATAATATCTCGGCGTAAAAAAGTAGAAATCAGCACGCCATTGGCCAGTCGAAGAGCCGTAGAGATTGAACGATCGCAAAAAACGGCAGCTCGAGCGGGCAACTTTTTTTGATGTTTGCACTGTTTGTTTGGTGATAAGATACGGCTTGTGCCTCAGGCCAACTAGGTGTGGCCGCATAACCACACGTACCTTCACCGTCCGGCTTTCGTCTGACTTGTGCTTCATCGTTTATTACTTTTGAATCCACAGGTTCTGACAGGCTTTGTACTAATGATGCCCTAGCGGGTGATGTGGCTACACTACCATCCCTGTGACCTTGTACGATATGGGTCGACAGGCTTATTTGAACCGGCTCGCTTTGGTAAGCTTCATCTTTCTACGTGCGAACTCAAGCGCGAACTTCCCCCTATAATTGTAGTTAAAAATCTTGGGTCTATGGACTGTGACAATGGATCATGCTTTACCCCGGGAACCCTAAAGTCTTCTGAAACTGAACCAGTCATCACCTGGCCCTGTCTCATTGTTTCTACCCGGATATACAAACCCACCCCAAACACCTCTTGCCATACATGCCTAATTGAGTTTAGTTACAACCTGGGTAGTATATCATATTAACTGATTTCAAGGGCCGGTCCCCATACGAAGCTCCCGATAATGCGACTGTTGATCCCTCCAATCCAGTCCGACGGATCTCCAGTGTTTATGCAGACAATTACATGCAGCAATATGATACCCGAGGTCACCCTGTTAATCCCGAGTCCAGAACCCTCGGAAAAGAACTCCGGAGAGCAAAGAATGATATCCTTTCAACGATGGGGATTGTCGTCAGTGGAGAAGATCGAAACTCTGGTATCCCCAATGAGCAGCAAAAGATCAACCAGATTGCGAGTGAAAATGACTTCGGACTCGTCATAACAACTTTCGATCAACTGTTCATCTTTTTTGGTACCTGGTGGACCTCTTCAGTCACTGGTCGAGTACAGGTAAATGCAATACCCGACTACTCTAGACATTGATTGGGCTGACAATCGAGGCTTGGTGCTCAGACTTACCGGCATTATGCCAATTCCGCATTACTCAATGTCATACAGGCCGAGAGAGACACCGCAGGCATTCTTAGCTTCTATTTTGCAGGAATTCCTGCCTGGGCAATGTCCAGTGGGTTGGCTATAGCTCGTGAGACCCCGCTGAAACGGGTGTTTGTCTCTCTCCGGGACTATGCTCAGTCTTTGACAGGCGACTCACTCGGTGTTCGTTCTCTGTTCGGGCTTCTATACACATTGTAAGTATATCTATCGTCCGTTCAAATAGACAAGACAACTAATTCTGATCAAAGGGCGAGAAATTCTGTGCTCATGTTGTCTATGGAGTTCTACATGTACTCCACACTCCAATCTCTTTCCCTTGTATCTCCGTATGGCATTCCCGGCGCGCAATTTCTGCTTCCCTTCGGCAAAGAATCTTTGTTGCAGCTGCCACCCTTGCCCGCTGATTTCTCCCCTCACTCACTGGGGACATCGCTTGTGCAATTGTTGACCTCTCCTGGCGCTCTAGTGTTCCTATATGGCTACTACTTGCGACCGGAGCTTGAAGAGCGTATTTATCGGTTGATCAGACGACACCTTCCTAAGCCATCTCTTCCCGATGAACTCTCAGTCCGCGTTGCCTTTGAAGAAAACCTGATAGAGTGGGTAGTGCCTACACTGGGCCGCAGATCAGACGAGGAATTACACCGGGGCAAGCTTACACTATTCGAAGATATCAAGTTTGAACTAGCCGTTTTTCGAAGATGGGTATCATCGCTTTTTGGATTGAGATCGAACCAATCGGCAGAGCAGCAAGCTCTCCGGACCTTTAGAGACGAGAGGATTGAAAACCTACGCAATTCGATTGAGCTGTTGCAAAATGAACTTGACGGAATCAATTTTGTTGCTGAAGAAGGACCAAATGACTCCGTGCCTAGACCGCCGGGGATCACCCCCGATGCCCAGGTTGCCGCTCTTGCATCACAAGCACGATCACGGTCACAGGATGGAACTGAATCCACACATTTGACTCAGGCAGAATCGGTAATTGGGTTGAATCAAGTGCTTACAAATGAAAATCGTATGTCTCAATCGCCTGGGGAAATGAGCAATGACTATTTCTCCGAGATGGCTACTGCTGGACAAACGAGTCGTCTCTCGGCCACCTCAACCCCGCAGGACCAAATAGCCCCTTTGCGAGATAACGAGGACTTTGCTATGGACAGAGAAAACTCACGATCTAATACCCTCTTTTCTCCCCCATCGTCACCAGAAACATCACCTCCTACATCGCCTCGTGTAAGAGCATCCTTGATTCACCAGAGCTCTGACGTTATCACGATGCAGCTTGAGTTGCTGAGCAATCGGAACCGTCATCCACAGATCCAAGCTTCAAGTCCTGCCCAGCTGAATGCACTATCGGGCAGGAATATATCAGGATCAAATGCGAATCCAGAGGCCATGGATAGACGATCCATAGCCGAGTTCCTCGAAGCTCTCATCTTGAGTCAGGCCCAGCGGCAGGTGCAGCAGCCCCTAGCAGCAGCAGATACGGACGGCCTCTCAAGTATCACTGCCGGACAATCCAATACAACGCCCCAGGACTTGGATGCCCCTGAACTAGACCCTCAAATTCCGGCCCCAGAAACCCAAGCCACCGACGCTCCAACTTTAGAGTCAATTGAGGAAGCACTAGGGTCCATCGTTCCAAATATTCTCCCAGATGGCGTGGAAGAACCAAACGATGAAGAGCCCTCCAATGGACCAAACCCTGTCGCAGATACAGACCACAATGAAGATACCCAATCCGACACCCTCGTCCAGCCAATTCTACCATCTTCTCTTATCCCCGGACAACCGACAAACACATTGTCGCAGGTCCACCGTGTCACCCTTCTTTCGGCATACCCTGTGGACTCACTCGCATCTCACCTTGCTGCTGCAATCAGCGGCATCATACTCGCGCCCCTTGAAGCACTCTACCTTCGCTCATTGACCCGATCCTGGATCATATCACACCCGTCCTCTGTTATCCGTCTCTCAGATGTCCATCCGTTGGGTCTTTGGTTTGGCGGGAGAACTTGGCCAGATATATGTGCCTATTCCTTCCGGCTCGTACTCATGAGAGGAATGCAAGTTGCGATGAGAGCGGGGATTTGGGGGTTTCTGGTGGGCTCGACAATGAGGATAGGGAGGAACTTCTGCGGCTGGGGAACCTTGTGATGAATACTTTTTTGGCCGCGTCAATCCTTATGTTACTTTATGATGTGTTATCTTAACTATTCAGCCTTACTTTCATGAGACTTTTGTACAACCATTTCGTCACTTGCACGTTATGCACTTCCGCGGTTTTTGGGTGTTATACAGCTAAAGCTACCTAGGGCTGTTCGGAGTATGCTGTATTAATAAACTGACCCTTAGGCCATTCGGTTCCTTTCCTCGCTGCGGAGCAGAAGACATATCTCGGTAATAGGCGACGGTAGGTTGATAACCATCTCGTGCTTGTTCCGTAGGTTGTGCTGCTCCAAGGTTCTGGCTGCAATATATGGGATTATCCATGTGCTAGTAGGTATGTAGGCTATCTTTCTAAGGTCATTTTTTCTCTTCTGGTGCAACGTCTTATATGTTTTTCAATAATTTCCTTGCTTTACCGTACAGTGGAAGATAACCAAAAAAAAAAAAAAACATAAATTCGTCATTATTTGATGGTACATTGGATGCTCTAAAAGATAAAAGTGTGGAAGATGTACAAGACAATTGCAAGATCGAAGCTTATGCTTAATCCTCAGATGTAACTGTCTTAGATCAAGCACGCTCCTTTCCTTTATTCCCTGGCACCTTGCGTCGCTCCCAGACCATAAGGTATCCCTCGCGAGTGAAAAGAGTTTCACTTTCTGTGCGGTTGACGAACAAATCCTGGATCTCAAGCCACTCCGGGCCCTGCTGCTGCTTCTCTGTGGAACCGCTATTTTTGGCGCGAGCGTTCTCGGCCTCCATCGCTTTATCGTGGAGCTGGACAAGCCATGATACCTTCTTGCTGCCGCCGCCTGCTCCGCTAGAGGAGCCTCCGGCTCCCGACGCAGAGTTGACGCCTTTGTCCGCAGCGTCATCCATTTCACCGGGTGCGGCGATAGCGGGGTCAAGGATGATGTTTGCGACAAGATCGTAAAGGATTGGATCGCTAGGGGACCAAACATTGGGATTTGGCTCGACATAAGGGGACATATCCAAGTTGTGCGGGGAGGGAAATGTGACGATGGTTGGGTTTCGCTCAGAGACAAAGCGGTTCTTGCTGAAACGCTTGATATGGAAGAAAAGGTACGGAGGAAGAGGGTGGAGAAGACGGTGTCGGACACGGTGGGCCAGTTTCTCTGATGCCGTGTAGCCGTTATATTTGTTCAAGAGGGTAGTCAAAGGAACCTGTGGGATGCTTGACTCCCTACTGGAAGACTGGAAGAGCGGTGTGGGGGGTAGGTCCAGCGTGAGGATGAGGAAAGGGGTAACCTGGCTATTGATTGTGGCAGATTCAGTGAATACCAAACGGGCATTCTGGGTATCAGAGTGAGCAGTAATAGCTTGGCTTTCGATCCGTACACGGCCCTGGAACGCTGCGTGAACGACACTTGTGGGTGCTGGTGACGGCTTCTTGGACCCTCCTAAGGCGAGGTGCAGGGTGTTTAGGAACCAAGACAAGAAATCCACGGGATCTGCCTGGTTTGTGAGAGTGAACCGTTTCGAGGACCGTACAGCAATCTCTTGTAGTAACTCGTGCGGAGACACATGTGACCGGAACGCCTTAGGGTTCCATAGCTTGCGCACCAGTGTGCTGAAACGAAGAATTATTTCTGGTGTGCCAGGCGTAGGGAACTCGTGGAGGAGGAAGAAATTGCGAATTGGCAAAACGTGTGCCAGTAGTTGAGCTACTACATTGACATAGTCGTTGGCTTTGATGTTGTTCATGCCAACAAACCCTGGAGAAGAAAATTAGCCAAAATAACCCCAATATTATCTTGATAAAGGCTCTTACCTGGTCTGTACTTAGACCCAGAAAGGTCCCAGGCATCATGCACTTCCTTATCAAGCTTGACCACTTGGCTTTTTGTGTAGTGTGGATCAACCACATATTTGATATCCTCCAAACTCTTGTTATTGACTTCATATCCTTCAGGCAGAACATAGACCTTCTTTGTGCCAATGTTGATGAAGACGTGGTGTCCAACTTCAAGGGCATGAAAATATGCATGCGATTTGGGACCACGACCCTGGAAGTATTTGCCGCAAACAAGGCACGCATACACATTGACATTTGACAAACTGATAGAGCACAGCTTCTCGAAGTCGAAATCCAGGATTTCACGGTTGATTGTGTCGAGGTAAAGGTCGCCGTAGCCTTCCATGGGAGCGCTTTGCCGCTTTGGGGCGCTGAGTACAGGCGCATCTTCGTCGATATCCAAGAGCGCAGAGGAATCTTTCTCTCCCTCCTCAAGTTCCTCTGCTTCTATTTCAGCTGCTCCTAGGATATCCACATTACGATCATCTTGTGTCAGCTCTTCGGTTTGCAGCGCGGGCACTGCGTCGTTGGGAAACTCGGGGTCGTTGTCGTCCTCGACGCGCGCCTTTTTCGATACGGGTGAGCTAGAGAAGTCTTGCTCCAAGGGGAGCTCTGCGTGTCTTTTCGACATTGTGAGATGGTTTGAATCGAAAAGTTGGTGACCACGGAGTTATTGACTTTCCGAGAGCTCGGGATGCGACGCTGTTGCAAACAAGTCAAACACCCACGGGTCAGACCAATGCCAAGCGGTGTACGTTCTATACAAAATGCCGTTCATCATTTGAGTGAGCGTATAGGGCTGTATTTGCCTATTGTTTATTCAATATTTAGGAATCTACTCCTTAATTGACTTCCAAGGTTACTACAGCCTAAATCATGTCGACCGTTCGACTATCTCGGAATCAAAGAAAAACGTCATAAGATGTGATACAAACGCCGTGGTATGTCGACCTTCAAGCACTTCGGACCACCTTGTCGTTATCGACGGGAATGATTTCCACACCATCCTTTGTCACGACCTTCACCAGCATCTGTGAATAATTGTGTTAGAATATTGGGATCTGAGGGCGGCTTCCCAAAGAACTTACTCCTTTGTAGTCAATGGGTAGTCTGCGCTTCAGCTCATCTGTGCACAGGGTGAGGAGGGCAAGGCCCTCCTCGAGGGAACAGTCGGGATGATGGTGTTTGTCAAGGATGGAGAGGCAGTAGTATCTAGCAGTCGGCGTTAGTTATCTCTCACCCGGACTTTCGTATCGTCCGTTATGACGGGTCATGAAACATACTGGGCATAGCCGTGGGCAGCATATGGTAGGGGCGCCAGCGACGCAAGATAATCAATCCAGAACAGGTGAGGCTTCTCAGTGACCGGATCTATACCACCTAGCAGCAGGTTTACTGTGTAGGGAGTCCGTGACCGCAAGCTGCGCGCCAATTCTCCTCGGACGAAATTGGCAACGGCGGAGGGGCTGAGCTCGGTATCATTGCGCATGCTGTAGAGTGCAGCGTTGGCTTGGATGTATTCGGCAAATTGAACTAGCATAGGTATCTCATTAGCATCTTGTTTATCTTGTCGGAGAAGCAGCTACATACCGGTATCTCCAGACTCTCCGGAGAAGGCCATCACTGTGTGCTTGTTCAACTGTCGTGTCTTATCATCTTCAGCCTTGAGAACTGTCGGGCCTCTCATTGCGGCCTTGGATGCAGCAAGAATGACGAAGTCCTTGCCGGCGATACCCAAAAGAACCTCCCTAGAAAGCTGTTAGTGACCATTTGTAGATGTGAGATCACCATAAGCTCACATATTTGCGGTATAAGAGATAAATAAAAAATTAACAAGCAAGTAGATGATCAGAGAAGACGAAGGGGAGTAGTGATCAAGTGAGGAGGACCGCGCGGTGAGCTTGACGCCTGGAGCTCCTGTGAGGTCAGCTACCTGCTGAGTCAGCCGCCGCTTAGCGCTTTTTTTTTCTGCCAAAAAAAAGTTGAAGTTTCGATCTCCGCAGTCCGAGTCTTTCGAGAACGCCATACATTCGATTTATTTATACAGAGACAAAGAACCGACAGGTCGCAAAACGTCGCCATGTCGTCCTTTTTCACTGTACCCAATTCCCAACGCAAGAGGAAGAGAGACGACCGCGCCGGAGCCCCAGGATCAAAAAAACGAGGCGTAGATGCCAAAGCCGACGGTGGTCGACGCACCAAAGAGAGAGAAGAATCAATCTCAGGTAGCGACTTGGATGAAGATGCTGCAATCGATACGGCAGAGTCAGACGATAGTGGATCGGACTCAGAAGACGGCGAAACCGCGGCGGACCGAAGATTGAAACTCGCTGAACGCTATCTGGGTAACATCCAAGAAGAAGTTGACGAAGCTGGATTTGATGCCGCAGATATCGACCGAGACTTGATTGCGGAGCGATTGAAGAAGGATGTCGATGAGTTCAAAGGACGGACATTCCGTCAAATTGCTGCGAAACTATCCGTTCCCACGGCGCCCCATTCCTTTTTCCGCTCAGATACCCAGTCCAGCACTGCCATCGCAGTCCACCCGCCATTTGTCTACATTGTTTCAAAGGACAAGACTTTGACCAAGTGGGAATTGGCTACACCTAGTGTACCAGGCTCTACAGAATCGAACGGCGATAATGATACTTCTAAGCGGCCTCCGCGCCCCCAGCGCAAGAAGCCCAAGCGTGTGAAGTACGCTCGGGGTATGCGCAAAGTTGGCGAATCAGGCGAGGACCAAGGACATACCGGAAGCATCCTCTCTGTTGCCGTCTCACCTTCTGGAAAATTCGTGGCCACCGGTGGAGCAGACAATAAGCTTATCATCTGGGACGCAGAGACTTTGACGCCAACCAAGACCTTCTTGCACCACAGAGACTCGGTTTGCACCTTGTCGTTCGCACGCCATATCTCAACGATGAGCTCCGGAGAGCAGCTGTTCTCCGGTTCGTACGATCGTACAATTAAGACATGGTCCATCAGTGGAGCGGGCCACGCCTACGTCGAAACACTCTTCGGCCACCAGGATCACGTTACCGGAATTGCTGCCATGACTATTGACGAATGTGTCAGTGTTGGTGCTCGGGATCGTACCGCCCGTTTGTGGAAGGTTGTCGAGGAAACACAGCTCGTGTTCCGTGGTGGCGCCTCTAGAAATGCCCCTTACCACGAGAGCAACATTGACTGCATTGCCCCCCTTCCACCCACGCACTTCGTCACTGGCTCAGATTCCGGCTCCCTCTGCCTTTGGTCGGTCCACAAGAAGAAGCCAATCTACACCGTCCGTCTTGCTCACGGCTTGGACCCCATCCCCCCTCTGGATGTGTTATCACCCGAGGCAGACGAGGCGACTGCCGCCCACAACACGCGCCACATGCGACCCATGCCTCGCTGGATCACCGCCCTCGCTACCCTACCAGGTACCGATGTTGTCCTCAGTGGCAGCTGGGACGGTTTCATCCGCGCATGGCGCGTGTCAGAAGATAAAAAGACACTTATCGCTCTGGGTCCCATCGGTGCAAGCATACCTGGTACCGTGACACCAGATACGCCCTCCCAGCAACTCAACCAGACTCTTGCTCTTGATGCCACCCCCGCGCCGGATCAAAAAGAGCCAGAGCCTTTGATCAAGGGCGTCATCAATGACATTGCGGTCTTCGAACGACGCCCTGAATCTGATATGCCTGGTGCAGACAAACATAAGTCCGAGACCGAGCAAGAACCTCGTGGTTTGTCCATCGTCGCCGCTGTCGGCAAGGAGCACCGATTGGCTCGCTGGAAGTGCTTCAACAACAATTTCCATGAGGGTCCCACTTCGGGAGGTCGAAATGGTGCTGTTGTCTTCGAAGTTCCGTTTGTTACTAATGACACTGTGAAGGCTGATGTATAAATTTTGTTCATAATCTTCTGTCTCGACCTTGGTCATTGGCCGAGAGTAAAATGGGGAGCGTTGCTCGGGGTCAGGTGTATTTGGAGTCACATCTGTGTATTTTACCATTTTTGCATATGTGCCGGATATCTTCGGTGCATTGAAGTATTCAATCATATCCCTCTTTCAAGCAATATTGTTCCTCAAGAGTAAACTTCGTGATGACAGTAAATGATTAGAAAAGCTGTGTAGGCACACTTTTATAACCTTGCTTCCTTCAATCTCCCAATGTTGTTTCAACAACCAATACCCAAATATTTCTACGAATTCTGGGTCTGCGTCATGTGGATATTTTTGCTGGTTGTTCTCGCTGGTTTACTTTGCTTGTAAATAGGGTGTCCAGTGATATCTACATACATTTATTTACTTCGAGTGAACTCGTGGACTGTTGTAGGTACATGTAGTTATCATTTTAAGAGTAACACTACGAAGCAAGATAGTATGCTCTAACTAGTTGGTGAAAGAATACAACATGGAAAGCAAGGACTTAACATGGTAGAGCCTGTGGCTTTCTTCATAGATTTGATAATAGATTTTGTGGACACGTTTTATTGAGTACCAAGAGACTAGGTTCTTCGAGTCCACTCGCAAAGGGCGACAAAAGATCAAGATCGAATCAGAGAAGGATAAGTAGGGGTATTCGTAGAGTACGGTTGAGCCGGTAAGAAGCAAAGCATGAAGATAGGGTCCAGCCGTTGAAGGCATCGGAAAAGGAAAAAAGAGAAAAATGTCTTCTTTTTGATATCAAAATGAAAACAAAACGCCGCCAGCCATGACAACAGTCCTCTTAGCATTACCCAAGCGCCGCGCTGAAGCCAAAACAAAACATTAAATAGGTCGATAAAATGCGAAAGCAGATACCGCGTCGGCGGTCCGAATATTTTTTTTTTAATATGGAGAGAATCTGGCACGTCGCCTCTGTGTGGTTCTTCTCACTGGACCGACAGGCTGATCGTCGTCGGAATCATCGAGGGTGATCACATTCTGAGTAGTGGTCCCGTGTTGGATGGCACGGCGTGCACCAACGGATCTCCCAGGCCGAACAGGTGGCGAGGATTCCTCTTCCTCTTCTTCGGATGAGTCAGGAATTTCTATTGGAGGCCTCGCTGCAAGCCATGAAGCATCGCTGGGGGCTTGGAACCAGGGGGACTGGCGTGGATATTGTGTATTAGCTTGACGAGGTGGCGCAGTCTGAATTGCATCCTCGTCAGACTCAGATTCATCCTCCTCTTCATCGACCATCTCTCTATCGTCCGATTCCGATGAGACTTCCTCTTCCACCTCTTCATCAGAAGCTTCGTCGTCAAAGTAAGGTGTGGTGTTTCTGTAATTGAGCCCAATAGTTGAGGAATGGTGGTCACCCTGAACATCATCCACAACGGTGCCAGTGGAACGATCTGATTCCGATTCATACGTATCGCCACTCCCGAGACGATGGCCTTGGTCTTCAACGAAGGAACTCGTGGGCGGATGGTCGTTTTCAGCATCGATGAATGAGTCTGACTCGTCATACTCATTCTCTTCTTCGTCTTCCTCTTCTTCGTCGTATTCACTGTCATTGGTGTTACCTGAAGGGAGATAGTTGCCATGATTCACAGGGCCTCCCGGGGGCATTCGAATCATGGCAGGTCCGTTACCCATCAAGTTTTCAAGCCGGTCGAAAACTTGGCCAGGACCTACACCTGAGGACCAGTTAGGGCGTGCGGGGAAGGGATGTCTATACCACTGAAGCGCAAAGTTGCCCCAAACGCCATCATGGTCTTCGATGTCGTCGAAGTGGTCAGATTCCCTTGCCTCGCCCTCACCTTCGCCCTCTTCCCCGTCCTCGTCTATGCCATCATCCAGCGAGTCTAGGTCGGTCTCACTGAAGTCAGCTGATCCACTGTCGTCTGTATCTTCGGAATCCGGCCGGTATCGGTAGCCGCATCCTGCGCAATTGTCCCCTTCAAGTTCCCATGAGCAGAGCGGGCATCGAACTACTCCGTCTTCAATGTCAATGACAGGATTTTTTCGGGGATCTCTTGGCTTGAAAAGACCCCCGAACAGACCTCCTTCGGTTGGATGACTATTGGCCTTGTCCTGATCCAGTCTTTCCGCTTCGTCTCTTTGATTTTTTGAATGCTCCGTAGTCGTTTCTCCTTTATCTAAAAGCTCAGCTCGACCTGTGAACATCTGCACAACGGCCCGGACCTGTGACACAAGAGATATGTCAGATACAATGCAAATGAATTGAGATTGTTAAAACTCACCAAATAAGCTGGTGCTGGTTGTGTCTTGACAGGTGCTCGGCAATCCGGGCATGTTCGCTTTGATCTTCCACCAGCAAACCATGATGATAGACACTATGTGAGGAATTCTAGTCAGGTACTGGTATTAACAAAAGAGTAATATAGTATGGAGACTCACTGAGTAGCAGAAAGTGTGCCCGCAGGCGATAGTAAACGGTTCGTAAAGAGGACGGATGCATATACCGCACTGTATCAAAGTGCGAATATCGTCGACATGGCCCTGGAGGGTGTTGACCAGCTGTATATCACGCGTCAGTCTTTAGTACTCGATCACTTCAATCAGACGCGGGAATTGACTTACCCCCGATGCCTCAGCCCCAGGACCACTTCTAGCCGCCATTTTGACCTTCTGGGGCTTGTCAAAAGCTGTAATTTCCACGCCAGGAGCGCGTCGCATCAACCGGAGTGCGTTTGAGGCGTCTTGGGGTGAATGCGCGAGTGCCGACAGGATGCGGTGGGGGTGTCCCGGAGAGTAAAAGTTTCGCGAAGTGGCAAGATGTGATCAACAAGTTTTCGCAGAGACAACTCTAAGAAGTCAAAGAACTCTGCGAGGCTAGCGTGACGGTCTGAGACTGAGAAAAAGGCACAAGGAAGTGTAATAATATGATCCAGATTCTTCAAGTCAGAGGGCAGATGTTTTTGTGGCCTCAGGCAAGAAATCACATAATCATGAGGAAGGGGCCCCAGGGAGCTTTGAACAACTTCAGAAGTGACTCGTCACTTTCTTTCATCGTCCTCATATGATAGTCACTTGTTATTTTGGACTTGTTGAGCTTGCTCAAAGTTCATGATTGTGGAAATAATCTGCACAAGTGCAACTGCACATCTCTACTTCGTATGGGTGAGGGACTTGATTCCATAACACAAAGATGTTGCCCAATTTTTGGCTTCCCTTTTTCTTTGATCCTAGAATGAGACCAGGCGAGTCAATAATGACTTTGGAGTATACCTGTTCAATAATACAGCCGATCAAATCATATTTGACCTCACTTACACATCCAGATCTTGCATCAGCCGGTTCACTTACAGATACAGACCATAGCATTCACACAGACCATATGCCGCAACACTCGAGATATTACAAGGCTTTCCATTGGACTTAGGGGACTTGTATGTTTCCAGCATCTGACTGACTAACTTTGGAAATTTATTCCTTTCATAACAATATCCGAGTGACTGCCCACATACACTATAGTTATCTCTTCTAAGATTCGCAGGCCTTGCCGCATCGTGCTCGCTGAATAGAACCGAGCACGCCGGCATCGATGGTGGTGGCAATGTGACTATTGTGTCTACGTTATGGAAGGGCTGTAAATTGGATCGAATTGGATCGAATTGGATCGAATTGAATCGATCTAAAAATATTGTCTCTTGTCTCAACACAATAAAATCCATGAAGTTTGGCTGCAATCACATGGACGATGGCGTGCCAACACAGCCTTGTGTTGCTTGACCATGGGCACAATTGTGTTGGCTGGGTCTAAACATATTGCTTTTGACCTTGCACGGAGGGCATCCGAAGAGGAGGCCCGTCGATGTTGTAGGACATGGTTGACCGTTTTTATGGACACCGATTAGCCTTTTGACTGTTCTCCTCTACTGCAACTCTCAGCTACTCTTGATCATGGCACGGTATAAGTTGGATAGATCCCTTGGGCTTCTTCAAAACATACCCTGCTCTTTGTTAATCCCAGAGTTCAACATCCTTATAAAATGACTGTCCCTGTTCAGGAAATCGAGACTGATCGCTTAGACAAATTATGGAAATACCTTGGTCTTCGCAAACTACTAGCGTGGCAGGATAATATCTTTTTATCACAGATTACCACTGGATACGATGAAAGCGTGGTCCGAAGTTTCCAGTCTATGAAACCCCGGGTTAAAGGTCCGTAGATCCCTTGTACAATTTTCGAGATATAATGCTGACTATATCGGTCTCACCAGATATGGAGAACCCCGATCCGTCTAAAATCAAACTCATCGCAGCTATTCACTTCGTTGGGGGCTTTGTTGGTGCCTTGGTTGCCTCACCCACGGTGGGACTATTTCGGACGACGAGTAGGCATGTTTGTTGGATCAAGCTTGACGTTTGTCGAAACTATCATTCAAACAGCTGCACAAAATGCTGGAATGTTTATTGGCCGTCGATTCTTGATTGAGTTGGAATTAGCTTCACATGTGTTGCTGGCCCCTTGCTGCTCTTCGAACTGGCTCATCCGGCGATGCGTGGGACAATATCCTCTTTGGTAAGGCCCATTACTAGTTGACCCGAGCTATTTATCGCACTATCTGCTGATATAACATTTCTAGTTTAACGTACTTTGGTATGTAGGCTCCATCATCGCGGCATGGGCAACGTTCGGCACTGGATACATGTCTACCAGCTGGTCCTGGCCTATACTATCCCTCATCCAGGGGGTTCCTGCAATCTTCGTCATGCTATCCGTTCTCTATGGTCTACCCAAAAGTCCACAATGGCTTGCAAAGTACCACGGTGACTTGCATTCGGCTCTTGTGATCCATGAGATGGAAGAGATACATGCCTTATTGGGGGCTGAAGCAGCCGCCCAAAAGAGTGGACAAAATGGCTGGAGCATTCTCTACCGATCGCTAGCAAATATGAAACGAATTACCCTGGTGGGTACTGTTACCCTCTTGACGCTCTGAAACGGCCAGACTGTAATCGCATACTACTTCAGCCCCATCTTGACCAGCATTGGTATCACGTCTACACCCTAACAGACCGGTATCAACGGTAGTTTGCAGATATACAACCTGCTATTCTCCCTAACAGGTGGCTTACTAGCAGACCGAATCGGCAGACGAACTCTCTGGATGACCTCATTCATCGGGATGATCCTCGTAAACGTCCCATTGACTGTAGCATCGGCCATGCATGCCCAACATGGATTTAAAGAAGCCTCGATTGCCGTTGTGATATTTCTTTTTCCCTTTGATGCGGCTTTTGATTTGGTGAATAACCCACTTCTTTATTGTTATCCAACGGAGCTTCTGTTGTTTCCAATTCAGGCCAAGGGGTTGAGTATTCAAGTGGCTGTCTCGCAGGTAGCACTTACTGTCAATCAGTATTTTAATCCCATTGCACTGGATAGCATTGGATTTTACTACTATATTTTCTACCTGGGAATGCTTGTCTCTGGTGTGAGTGCAATTTCTACTACCTTCTCCATACCCCGGGCATTAACACTTCTATAAAGACTTTGATAATATTTTTCACGTTTCCAGAAACGAAAGGGAGACCGAAGTTGAGATCGCCGCTCTTTTTGAGGATCCCAAACTGATCACGCAGACCCGATAATTCTCGAGGGGTTGGAAGCAAGATTCGATCACCATCCAAAGCCCTACGAAAGGAGCGTGTACTGACCAAGAATAAGGTATCGAGTTCACTCTGATGTGGGATACAAGTCTGGAGTGATATACAAGGCTCATGAGATGTGCTGTGTATATCTTGGTGTGGATTCTGGAATGCATATGTGATAATTCGATTCTAGACACATTTAACAATGAAGCTGCTTCAATATTCCACTCTATTCTATCTCACACCACAAACACTAGCTACTGCAGTATGGCAATCTTGTCAGTATGACAACCGGCGTTTAATTGGTACGTATGGCTACTTACTATCTTCTTTGCGGCGTAGTGAAAACCAACATACAACTTCAATTTTCATACAGAAAAGATAACCGCCAAATCCTGACCCGAAAGCCCTAAGAAAGGACACGTAAGAACGAAACAATCAAATCGCTCTAATACAATGGGCATCTCGTCATGAGCTCTTTAGAGCCATATGGCCAAGAGCCAAGTATTTGTAACTTCATTGACACTGAGGTCTACTCTGTAGCAGCGCGGGCCTGTTTCATGTGCCATTGCTGTTTAGTTCCTCTGAGCGAAGGTGGCTGTCATCAAACACGCCCATCTGAGCCTTTTCCTCGTCAATAATCTCCTTGTCCATATACCCCAGAAAATCGATCTGTTCACGGATGAACACCTTGAGACTGGCTGTATCAAATTGACGCCTTGCTCTTTTCCGGTCCCGCATGAACCGGTTGGCATCACAGAACCGGTCCTGAGGCATCTACAATCGATACTCCGCGTATTGATGATACAAGTCACCAATTATCGAGACAAGACAGACCGTTGTGAGAACACTACCATTCTTGGTGGATGAGGATCAGGGACGGAAAGATGTCACCATTGTGATCCGCTCTATCATACCAGTGCCCGAAGCGCTTGATGCTCGATATCGACTGGCATGATTGAGAGCTGTCCATCCTCAAAAGGGTCCCCCCCACTGTACTATCAATAGGCGTATGTGCTTACCCGCCACGTCCTATAATGAGTACGGTGGTTCAACACAGCTTTCGCTCTGTGATGAACTGTCCGTCGACGCCTTTTTCAGTGACCCTGTGATTTCTACACAAACGAAGGATTGATACTAGTCAAGCTGAATAGTGGGATATTTGGAGAAGTTTCGATAGCTAAGTGCAATAATAATCGATAACAAGCTCGGCTGCATCTAATCTTGGGCCAATCCTGTAGATTTTCTATGCTATATGCATCTCGGTCTGGACTTCCAATATGGGCTACCACTTGAGCAAGTACTTATGCAGCGTATATTGTGCATTCACTGTTTAAGTTAACGTGTTGATATTAATGGCATTGTCTCGGAGCAAACAAGAAGAGTTGGCCGTGGTCTGATGCCTTTAGTAGCCTCCTCAGATCCTTTTTGGGCCTCTTTTGATACATATTTTCTCGCTGTTCTCAAGTTTATATGTAGACGGTCGAAAAAGCCGGAAAAATCTTAAAATGACCAAACGACTTCTCTATTACAACTTTTGATCTATAGCTGTGGGTAATGCTCATGAATATATATAGATAGACTGAAAAGCCGCGCTCTGAAATCGGGCTTTCATATTCCAGTAGCTCTGCGAACTAGACATATATAAGGTCTGTACCTATGTACCTATGTAGATAATTCCTTCTAGAATTATAGGAAAGCAATATATAAACACATATTATGTGGACCTCGGGATTCTGGTTGGGGTTGGCAGATCTCCGCGCCAAGACCGCGCGGATCTCCAATTCTTCCCGTGTCCAACGCTAACTTCTGCTCCAATCAACCCCCAGACCTCCAATCTGATTTTCAAGAAACGCTTTGGCGTTCTATCTTATTTGATCAAGTTACTTGTCTCAATATATTGCGAACACAGGAGACATACGAACTCACTGCACCCATGGCATCCGAGTCAACCCAAGCAGACCCTCACGACAAAGCGTGGGAGAAAGCGGAGAAGAAGTTCACACAGTATGTTTCAATGTTTCTTCCTTCCACCCCTGTCTGCTTTTGTCTATCCCCAAATGTGATATGGTGTTTCTCAAGTCCTCCAGGACCGCGGGCGCGGTCCACTCGATCATGTCATGTTTACTGGACTATGTGGTCTTGAGAGCCACGCATATCAATACAGGCAGACTAACCCGATGGCTGCGTATCCATTGAACTGAATAGAGCATAGAACATGTGTGGCTTTTACCCATACTGATAGCTAACTTGTGGTTTAGTAAACATGCTAGCGAGTACTACGACCCATGCCAAGACTTCGCGGATCGGAGTCTCAAGTGTATGAGACGGAATGCCTCTGACCGCGAAATGTGTCACGATTATTTCCAGTATGTCAAATACTTTTTCATATGATATGACCAGTGTTTTGACTTTCTATCTGCCCGATTTACCTGGCTTTCGACCAACTTCTACAATATTGTCATGATTATCATATGCCTGAGCTTTCTTACTGACTGATTACTTTGTCTAGGGCTTATCGTGATTGTAAAAAGAACTGGGTAAGTTGAATGCATATTGTTATCGTTATAGCCTCGATCTTTTGTCTTATGCAGGCTTTGTTTTTATTCTGTCCGCGAGATCCATTAATTTTGATGCGATGCGTGTCGGAGTATATTCAGTCGCTAACGAGGCACAGCTCACCCAGAAGAAAGTTTCCTTGACGCCCCAGCCCAAATAAGTCATCTCTACCATCTCGGACCATTCTTACCGAAGAGATCGACAAATTTCCTGGCTGCGAGATCCCTGACATCCCCAAAGCAGTTGTTGCATGCCAACGCGCAAGGTGTGCTTTTCTATGAACCCAATAATCAGAAGTCTACCAAAGTCAAGCTCCTAGCTTCTTTCATGTGAACCGTTATGTGATGAGCATTCCAAATGCCGTCAGGCATCACGATCTTGCTCGGCTGGTAAAACATTCCATTTTTGGCAAAAACGTTTCATGGTTCGGTGCTGACCTGCGAGATAAGCGGCTTTCTCTTTTTGGGTTTATTTTCCTGTGACTTGACCTCTGTATGGCGTATCGGATTATCTTTTGAACGATTTTCAGTCTGTATATTATCATTTTCGAATCTTGAGGTCTTATCTGTTTTGCTCAGGTGTAGTACTTCTGATCTTCATGTTCAGTCAAATACAACACTTGTGTATGAATATGGAAGACGATTAAACAAAAACTATATGATGGACATATGTTAGAATCTTTTGAGGTTGGAAGTAGGTAGCTTCGAAGGTCTCCTAGCAACCATGATTCAACCTTTCGATATGGGTCATTCATGGGTTTGAAACGTGGCTTATCTTGATTAAAACAAAAATAGTAGGCCGCTTAGTCGGTCTTGTGGTGTCTTTTGGTGGTAGTTCTCGATTTTTTTTACATGTCTTTTTTCGGATATTTTTCCCCCTTTCCAGTCTTATAGCTACATACAACATAGATGGTAGAAAAAGGCGGGAAAAGGATAAATCTTAGAGGACTTTTCTGCGTATAACCAGGGATATAGATTAAATATACTGTACATAATACTATAAAGCAATTAAAAAGTTAGCTGCCTTTTTAATTTGCCATCCGTCTTATTTTTATTTCTGAACAATTACATCAATGGCGCATACAACGCGTACAACGTGCTTCGAATGTTAATGTTGGTTTTTTGCCGGCAAAATGGTGTGGGGACCACCTGACCGCCTTCCTTTTGGTCTCCTTCCCCGCCAAATAAAAAAGTGACCGGAGTCGATCATTCAACTCCAACTCACATCATTGACCCTTTTTAGCCCATGCTGTGCTAGGCACAGCAATCAGACAATTCTGCGATAGACGCCAATTGAAGAGTTCTCTCCTCAACGTGAACAGCACTTCCACCATGAGCTCCACCAATGACGCGGTGTTTCTGCGTCGCAACAACCAAATTCAAGATGCCATTGACTCGCAGAACATGAAGCAGGCCTTACAGCTGATCGAGAAGCGCATGAAAAAAGGCGAGAATACGCAGTTTTTAAAGGCGAGTGATTCTTATTGTTTATTCTGAATTCACCACCGTTGCGATGCTGTCAGCTGTATGGGACCAACTAACACGTGAGATCGCAAGCAAATAGGCCTGGAAAGCGAATGTCCTCTTCAACCACGCAGATGAAACCCATAAAAAGAAAGGCATTGCAGAGACCCTCGCGCTGTGCAACGCCGATCCACCGGTCTCAGATCTGGACTCTCTCGACATACTCCACCGTACGCTACGGAACATGGATGACCATACCGAGCTTCGGAGCGCCATATGGGAACGAGCTGCTAAGGCAAAGCCACAAGATCATGACCTTCAGATGAGATGGTTCAAATTCGGATATGAGGCTGGTGACTGGAAGTCAGCGCAGAAAGTGAGTTGGGAAGAAGCCTATGCGATACTGGCATCGTATCAAGGTCTAAGTTGCTAACGAGTGACTTCGGTCTTATTACAGGCTGCCATGAGCCTTCAAAAGAACTTTCCTCGGGAGCGAAAGTACTATTTTTGGGCTATTTTCCTTTGTTATCGTGTTTCAGATGATGCAGCTAGCTCGGATATGGACCGCAAGTTGTTTGGGACACTTGCCTATCGCTTTGCTCAAAAGGCAGTAGCTGAGGTTCCATCTAACCCGGTATGTACCTTTCCTAAAGACTACATGTTCACTGGAACTGAAGCTGAAGACTGGACATAATATTTGGACATAAATGACTGACTGGACATGATTGAAATGGCTTACTACAGACTGAATTGCTAAGCCCTACGAGAGCCATACAAACCGCCGAGGAACTTCTCTTGGCCCTTCGAATTTTCGAATCGCAGAATCGTTGGACAGAGATTGTGCAGGTTCTTAATAGCGAAAATGCTGGTCTTAGCTCTCGGATTGTTAACAACGATAGGACCTTCATGTTAACCAAAGTCATGGGCTTAGGGGCTGCTGGACTTTGGGAAGAAGGGCACTCCTACGCCAAAAGCCTACTTGCCGTGCCCGAAGACGAAACAGAGCGCATCACTCTGCATGAGCGCGATGATTGGAAATACTGGAACTTGCTCATCGCAGCCGTGCGCCATCTTGACAAAAACCCGGGGTAAGCATTCCAATATCTCACTTCTACACTGTTAAACCCTCGACTAACGAATGATTGCCTGCTTCGTACATAGGCTGCTCTCCGACACACAACAGCATATTGAGAAGTTCATCGAATTCAGCCCAAAGTCACGCAATGCACACATCGCTCTCATGGACATCACCCTAACCGGGTTCAAACGGGGCGAGCGGACAGAGGATGATCTGGTTGCTGCGTGCCAAAGATACTTTGACCAACACAAGCACAAACTCTATGCTTTCAAAGACTTACGAGGGGTCTTGGAGACCCGTGATGATACTTTGATTCACCGAGTATCTCAACATTGTATGGACAGTGTCGAAGGGAAGCCTGTAAGTGAGAATTCAGCTAAACTTAGTTAATACGGGCTAATCAATTTTCTAGGACGATGCCATTCCATTGATCAATGCGTACAAGATGCACTATTGCGACCGGATTTCAGGCAACAATGACGCATCGAAATCCACCATTGAGACTCTTGTTCGTAATTGCCTTTACTTTTACGATGCATTCACTCTTTTAGCGAAGACCCAGGACGCAAAGAAAGGGAGCCAACCAGATACTGCTTCTGCGATGGAAAGTCGGCCCACAGACGATTTCTGCATCATTGCTGCAATGGCCCTTCTTCAGCCCAGCCCAGCTGGCCAGGTATCTAAGAAACTCAGCAACACTGCCCTGATCCGCGCCGCTGGGATTCTGGAACGTCTTCTAATCGATTCACCCCATAACTACGAGGCGATTCTTATGTTGATTCGCATTTATCTTCTTCTCGGTGCTGGCTCCATTGCTTTGAGGTGGTTTGGCAAGCTGTCTGTCAAGCAAATGCAGTATGAGAGTGTTGCTCATAACCTCTTCACCCGCTTTGCCACCATTCACCCTCATGCTGCACCTCCTATCGAGGGCGCGGAGTACAAGGACTTTGACCCGCAAGTTGCATTTATCGCTGCTCTCGACTTTTATCGTGCTGCAAACTTCACTATCAAAAACTCTTTGATAAAAGGGCTTGATGATGGGGTCTATGTCAATCTAGACGATACAATCGAGCTTCAAAAGCGTATCAGGGACAGTATCTGCCGGAGAATGTGGGCCTTAGACTTGCGTCGGATGCAAAGAATCCGCAAAGGAAAACACCTGCCTCTCCATGAAGACACTGGTCAGTAGTCCTCAGTCTCTCTATACTCATGACGTAATTGGATACTAATTACTCTATAGCCCAAGATACATCACCGGTTCAAGACCAGCGGAAGTATGATGGCTTTATGAATCTGGAACGTTGTGACCAATCTCCATTTGAGCATCGGTTGCGCGCAGGCCCGATTCCTGGGGTAAGTTTTTTTTTCTTGAGTGACACTGTGGCACTGACTAATGCTAATATAGGAAAACTGGCTGGCATCCGCCCGGCTCACTGATCGACTTTTCAGTGTCCTCGAGAGCATCGGCAGTCAGAAGCCAGTCGCCTTGAAACTAGAGCTGCCTAACCTCGGCGGATTGTCGCTCTCCCAGACTGACGATGATCATACTGATGCCGAGAGGGATTCGACCAAGATTCACGTAGAATTGTTGAAAGTGGCTATGTTTATGGCTGGATCCAAGGCCCATACTTCCACTGAAATTGAGACTGCTCTTGGCGAGGTAGAGGATTGGTTGAAGGCTAAGAGAACAGATCTAGCCCTGGAAGACCCCAAGAGGTCCTCTCTTATGATGAAAACGACCATCGAGTTTACTCCAGGCACCCCAGGCGCACCGACATGGGAGTATTTCCATGCCATGTGGGCTCTTGTAGAGACTCTCAAGGCTCTATGGAATATGCTCGAGCTGGATTCTCGAAAGACTCTGAAGACCGCCAAACTCCCTGCCGAACAAATAAAGCGACTGGACACCCTTGTCCGTGAAGTTTTCGAGGATGTCCGTTCGAACACCCGAAATTTGAAACAGGGTCTTGCCGAATCAGCCACTCTCAGTACACTCATCGACATGGTCAAGCTTGGTGATACAACTGATGAATACGAGAAGCCTCTTCAAGATGTTATGGAAAAGGTCATGGATGAATCTGCGCTCGAATTGTTCTGTGGAGAGCTGAGGGAGAGCTGGGAGGAGGCACTTGATGCAGTGCTGGCTGCCAGGCTTTGATGCTCAATATCAAGAAATGCAAGGAATGAATCATGTGTGTATGAAATACATAGTTAGAGTACATTGAACCAATCCAAACCAAATCCATGACAGTTGATTCAGACAGGTCAGATGTAGTCAGGTAGTAAGAGGTCGACCTATAAAAAGAGGGCAAATATATATCACGTGCGCATGTGCCAAGACTTATTGATGTATATGCCTGAGGTGTCAGGGATCAGCGCTAGTCCCAATTAATCCAGCCCTAGCCCTAGTCACTCGCCTACCGCACCAACGCCAAGACCCCATTTTGCGGTTCCAAGGCAAAAGACCAGGCGATTTTCACACGGCTCCCTCACCTCCTCTTCGACAACCTCCGCCAACCCCTTCAGTCAACAACCGTCGAGATGGCCGAACGCTCCGGAATTGTGGTCGGCATTAACGCGGGCCGGGTACGTTTTTACAGTCTCTTTGCACCATGTTTTTCGGTCGTTTGAAGGTCTCCCAAGGTCTCTTCTTTTCGTTCGGTCTGTTGGTCCACCCAAGACCTGTAGGGTCAAGTTTTATCGCGGAAACACTGGGAATTATCACGGCAAGGAGGATTGCGATTGAATCGTCCATTGGAAAATATTGGAGACTCGCTTGGGAAAATTTTCGATGCCGCGGGAACACTTTGGATTCGACATTGGCACCGAAGCTAGCACTCGCCTTCCACGAAACTCAGATATGACCGCGCCATGAACCACACCGACAGACAGATACGATACGCGAAAGAAGAGAACACTGGGACCTGCGGCCGCTACATGTGACTTCGCGAACCACACATACTGACTGGGTCCTGATATAGAAAACCACCGCCCTCAACACCCCCAAGACCCGCATCTCGCGCACCAAGGGCAAGTCTTCCCGTCGCACCGCCTTCGTCCGCGAAATCGCCCAGGAGGTCGTTGGTCTCGCTCCCTACGAGCGCCGCATCATTGAGTTGCTGCGCAACGCCCAGGACAAGCGTGCCCGCAAGCTCGCTAAGAAGCGCGTACGTTCACTCTCCATCCTTGTTCCGCTTTTGTCTGCTCGGCTCTGTTTCATGGATCCCGTTGGATTTGGGGTTATTTGGTTAAGGTCTTGCTGTATCAGAACGGTATTGCATGGGCCATGCACGTTAATCCTGTAGAGAAAGATTAATTTCGATCTCTACTTGCACAAGCCCATGCATTACTATTCTATTTATCAACGACCGAGACCCATGACCAAAATCAAAACGATATTCGCCAGGATCAGAGCCCGCTCAGTCGATCCATTGAGTCGAATACTTTTACTAACATCATTTACAGCTCGGTACTTTCGGCCGCGGCAAGGCCAAGGTTGAGTCCATGCAGAAGGTTATTGCTGAGTCTCGCCGCACCGCTGCTCACTAAATTTTCCGACCCGTTCCTGTTTTTCTTTCGTTTTAACGACTCGACGCAAAAAAAAGCGTGATTCTCGGATCGGAAAGGGGGTTTTGTGGCCATTGGGCGTGCATGAAGGGGAAGGCAAATATGGGATTCCTTCTCTGTCGTATGGAGTGAAACCATAATGAAAACATTTATTCAACCATTTCACGTGTGATATTTGCAATTGAGCCACTTTCTAAATGGAGGTCTACAGCGTAGATGGAAAAGCGTACGGTTGCCTAATATGTGCAGACTGAGGTCTGACTTCATATGTTTGCAAGTCGGCGGCATCTTAATGGCTCTACATACACCGTTCATTTAGTGTCAAGTCTAGATTGCTACATTGTAATGAGGCTATCTACATAAACGACGTTTGAAGGCCATGTAATTCAAGTCTATCCGCACATCTAAGATCTTAATGTGTCTTGAGAGATGTGCCTCATAGCAAGGTCATGATCATAAGAGCAGCATATGTCACTCATCTTAACCAAATCCATTCCATTATCCTGATTTCATTTCTTACCCGGTAGCTTCAGCCACTTAGGCATAGCACCACTCTTCCGTGCTCCGCTGGGCTTGTCTCCGCCTTGGGCGCTGCTCGGACCTGGCTGTGATGGAGCAGGGGCATCTTCCTTGAGCTCCGGCGGTTGCTCCACCTTGAGTTGTTGAGCCTGGCTCCGAAGCTCGGGGCGTAGGATCTCCGCTCGGCGTTCATGAACAAACTCGGGAGCGTGTTCAGCCCAAGAGAAGTTGACGAGCACACGACCAGACAGCCCTAGGTCTTTAATCAGGCGCTTCTTATCTGATGGAGGTATGGCGCTTGTATGCTTGGATCTGGATACACCGTGGACAGTGAGATTGAAGTTCTCACTGGCGAACGGCAGAGCAAGGCATCCACGTGCGAATTCATACAACGACTTTCCTGTATCCGAGATCCCAAATTTGGCAATCACTTGGCTCTGATCTGGGAATCGGATCTTCACATCGACTTCACGAATGGCTGCTCGCCTTGTGGCTTCTGCTTCTGCCTTGGCGGCGATCTCGGCATCTGTTGGCAAGCGCTTTGGGCGAGAGGACTCGTTGAGTAACCGCTGGTGCAGCTTTGCGTGCTCAATAGAGGGTATGTAATCACTCTCATCGTAGTCTAGTTTTGCGGACGAAGGAGTGTCTTCCGAGGGAGGGGAGAAGACAGTAATCGTTCGGCCAGAGTCGGTTGTGGAAGTGGCCAGTCCGGAGATAGGTAGCGGAGCGGCAAATTCCTCCGATGCGGCGGTAACCCCAGAGGGATCAGGCTGCAACGAGCGGGAGATCTCTTGAGCAGGTTCATTGCTTGTGCTATTAGCGAGAGCTGCCATGGGCGCTGCGTTCTTATTCTGTGCCGCAGGTGCCTCATCCTCTAACTTGAAGAACTCGCCAATCTTGGCCATGGCTTCTTCAATAGGCTCCTCGGTCCGTCGGAAACTCAGGCGAATAAGAACATTGCCACTGTTGAAGCCCAGCTGCGCTAGGGTCTTTTGTAGATCTGTGAAACTTGATACTTCACGTTCCAAAATCTGAAGGACGGGGATCTCATAGTACAGTCGTCCGGCAACGTCTCCACCCTCGGCAGAGGGAACTGCACGTGAAGTGAGATTCCGTACTGGACCAGTCCCTGCAACTCCTGCCTCGAACTTCCGTAGTACCATCCAGAGTGTAGTTGTACTAGGGAACTTATCAAGTATGCGGCCATTCGGGGCACCACGAGCCTCTGATTCGGGAAGTTGCAGGCCGACGGTTACGACTGACGGGGAGCGAGAGATTTGAACAAGTTCAAGCTTTGCGCCGGATATGAGACCGGACAGGCGGTAGGAAAGAGAAAGGTCTAACTGCTTGCGATTGTGTCTGTTGCGTATAAAAGATCAGGTTAGTGTTGTCATCGGAGAAATGAACACCAACTCACTTTAATGAGTACTGGCTGGCATTATATCCAAGCTTCGAACATGCCTCCTGTAGGATATCGGTCAAATGTTTGGCGGGCGTAGTCTTGATTGTTGCCCGCCTGGCTGTCGCGTCGATCACCACAACGTGGGCACTCATTGTGCACGGAGAACAGTAGCTCTGACAATAAATATCGAAGGTTCAATATCTCAATGAAGAGATTAAAAATAAATAAATCAAAGTGTAGAAGCGAGAAACTCGAATGCGGGGAGAAAGAGGGCGCAGAAAGTAGTCGAAGCATACGAAACAGGCAGCGGTGCGGGCGTCATCTGAGCTCTCTCGCGTACCTCAGAGCTTCCCCGTCATCAACTCACCTCCATCACCTCTCCCAACCCGCCCCCTTCTCAACCACATTTTCTCTTCTTTTTTCTTGTGCTTTAGCTCTGGAATATCTCTGTTATATTGAATTGCATCAAAACACTGCAATAATGGTAAGAAAAATGCGCTCTTTGTCCCTATCGTCTACGGATCTCTGGACCTCCAAGCTGACCGACTTCTCCCATCACAGTCCAACCCCTTCGACATCAGTATGCTGGAACCTTGTCCCTAATGAATAAACAACCAAAATACTAACCGTTCTGCAGATGGCGGTGCCTGTGTCGCCATGGTGGGCAAGGACTGCGTCGCCATCGCCTGTGACCTTCGCCTGGGCATGCAGTCCCTGACCATCTCCAACAACTTCCCCAAGATCTTCAACTACGCTCCATCCACCTACCTCGGCCTGACTGGCCTCGCCACCGACGTCAACACCGTCTCCGATCTCTTCCGTTACAAGGTCAACATGTACCGGCTGCGCGAGGAGCGCGACATCGCACCGCAGACCCTCGCCAACCTAGTGAGCTCATCGCTGTATGAGAAGCGCTTCGGTCCCTACTTTGTCAGCCCTGTGCTGGCTGGTATCAACCCAACAACGGGGAAGCCCTTCATCTGCGGCTTTGACAGCATTGGCTGTATCGATTTCGCCAAGGACTTCATTGTCAGCGGAACAGCAAGTGACCAGCTCTTCGGTACTTGCGAGGGTTTGTGGGAGCCTGATCTGGTATGTACTATTGGTGTTTTTATATCCCCTACTAGATGCGCTGTCTAACACATTATCATTACAGGCCCCCGAGGACCTTTTCGAGACTATCTCACAAGCGCTGCTTAGCGCTGTGGACCGAGATGCTCTCTCCGGCTGGGGTGCCCAGGTTTACATTATAGAGAAGGACAAGGTTACCCAGCGGTTATTGAAGGGACGACAGGATTAGATTTGGGGAAGTGGTTGTTTTGGGCTTTCCGTTGGTTTCAGGGCAAATCCCGGCGTCTACGGTCTTCACTGGATGATATGTGCCGTGTACGGTCAATCAATGACGGGGTAGCACAAGAACAACGTGAGAGCGGTCGATACCTGAGCCGAAGGGCACTTTTTGTTCTTTGACTCCATGTTTCTCTTACTCCTACTCATGATAATAAAAGGCTCCCGTTGTCACGTCACGGCAGTGTTCCAATTTGCATCAATCCAACGCATTAACTAGGGGAACGGACAAAGTGCGGTTTTCAAGAATCAGTAACTACCCCAATTTGTTGTTTCGACTGACCTGTGTCATTGTTCAGCCCTCAGCCCTTGTACCTTCCTAGTTGCCCACCCACAGCAAGCCTGATGTGCTTTTATACAGTGTTTTACTACCAACGAGTCCAACTTCCCAAGAGGTCACTAAGAAAACGTAAGTCTGATTTGTTCGCGAGGCAGCTTGGATATTCAAATACAAACAATTTACCCTACAAAGGACAAGTAGGTCGAACGAAAGGGACAAGACGAAATACAAACTCGGAAATTTCCTTTTTTTCCAGAACAACGAAGATGTTGCTTGCTATACATCATTTGCAACCAGAAACCAGGTCATCTCCAAAAGGCCAGTGAGACATTCAATAACCATCTCTGTCGGCTAGCACCCCGTAGGCTGGTCCATTATTCCCTAGGAATCTTTTGATATCCGACGCCAGCAACTCAGGCACTTCCCAGGCCGCAAAATGGCCACCACGATCGTACTCCGTTTCCTGCACAATATTCCCAATAGATCGATACCACGCCATAGGCCACATAAAAATCTCCTCCCGGAACTGTGCGACCGCAAAGCACACACTCGGCGGTGCCCGAGCCCCGAGAACCTGTTCAGTCGACATGTAATTCAGGTCTGCCTTTTTCAGCGGCTCCTCCTGAGCTTCATCCTCAGACACAGCCGCACTCCCACCACGCTTCGGTGCCGAGGCCTCGTAGTAGATTCTCGTTGATGCCATTGGCCCAGCCGTGGAGAAATAGTATACACTGACCCAGGTCAAGATCTCTTCATCTGTCCAGGGGTACTTGTCGGACCAACTATGCATTTTGTCATAGATCCAAGCTAGTAATCCGACGGGACTATCGTGAAGCCCGTAGCCTAGTGTCTGCGGTCGAGTTTCTTGCTGTTTCAGGTATGCGTTGTCACGGGTCATATATCCTAATGCCCGGGCGATGTAGCCACGATCTTTCGCCGAAAATGGCACAGATAGCAGCGACTTGAGGAACTGGTAGGGACTTCGCCATGGGTAGGGCGGTATGACGGGGATGAAGTTCAGGTGGATAGCTTGGGTATGTTGAGGATAGTACTGAGACATGGTACGGGCGATCATGCTTCCCCAGTCGCCACCTTGAATCACTGCTCTGGAATTAGTTGGCTCCTATTGGTGGTGGTAGATTGTGCTTGCCGTATTCCTCGTAGCCTAGTGCGATCATTACTTTGTGTAGAGCTTCCGCGTACTGTGCCAGCCCGAATCCTCTCTAATTTGGTTGTTAGGATGCATTCAACAACTGCTGATACCTATTACTCAAGTGACCTTCTTGACGCCCTGCGAGAATCCAAAATTTGGCAACGAAGGCGCGACAACATCGAATACCGGGCCATCCCCGTCGGTATCAGTGAGTAGTGGGAGAAGCTTGGTAGCTTCGAGGAAGCTGCCAGGCCCTGGTATAGGAGCGATGAATTAGCAGGAGCGCCGAAGATAGTAATTTAGGAAGGAGGGCTAGGTACACCCATGGATAAAAAGCAATGGAATTGCTTTTGAATTTCCGCTCCGATGATGCACGGCATGTATATTCAGTTCTCCGAAGCCCTCTACTTCTGTTCGAACATTGACTTGCTTGAGTTGCTCATTTAGCTTTCGCTCTTGCGCACGCCAGTCAAACTGATCGCGCCAGACGGTGATGAGTCTCTTAATCTCATGGAGAGGAACGCCCATCTCCCACCCCGAAGCCTCGAGTTCGTCGGGGAAGGTGGTGTACTCCAGCTTGTGACGGAGCTGTTGGAGTTTCTCATCCGGAACGGCGATGTTATATGGGGTGACTGAAGTCATGATTGTAGATCATGTCAAGATTGAAGTTTGATGAGAATGATTGGAATGGCAAAGTTGGCTGCCTTGTATGATATAGTCTCCTACTGTAGCGTAACCAGAATAAAGTGTCTATATTGTATGTGGGCTTATACATATAATCGTTTCTCAAGTTGCAGGGGCGGTGATGTAGCCGCGCTCGGGCCACGGAGGTTTGGATTACCTCGGTTTCACAGTTATATGTACATAGTGAGATGGGAATATGAGGGTCTTTTAACTTGAATATGCATAAGCAAAAATAGATGCATAATCAGAGACAAAGACACCTTCCTATATATAGAAAAGTCGTACGCTTTATGCTTTTGCCGAGTGACGAGTTTGGCATACCTTCATCTATAGCTCTGTAAGGATCCTTCTTATAACACCGAGAAGGCAAAGATATCGAAATGAAAGACATCTAAAATGACCTCTAAATGAATTGTACAGTTAACTTTAGCTTTACACATAGATAGTGTACGAGTGTCAGGCGTTATATATCACCGAGTACAACGACAGGTCAGATACAGAAAAGTTACCACCTGCATTTGTGGACTAGGAATTAATCGCGCGTTTTATCCGGTTTTATTGCTGGTTAGAGAATTTCCCACTGAATTTGATCATACTTTTCATACAGTTAGATTTCTGTCATTATATTGTGTAAGGAATCGCCCGACTTCCCTTTCCTTAGGGGTGGTTCTTGCTTTACCATGCCCATGCTGAAATACGCACTCAGAGTTCTCATTTATATTCTCGGGGTTACCCAGTTTCTTTGCCCATGTCCCCAGCAAGAGTGTGAGCACCCATTTCGGACGTGCCCCCAGAAATAGTGGACAGGATTATTCAACTACTCGCTATATAGTCTCAAGCTTGTTTCGCCTTGAGCTGCAGGCCTCTGTATATACAATATCAACATGTTTTAGCACGAGACGAATTCGCCTTCCCCAGATATCAACCCCGCGGGTGTGGACTTCCATATCAGCTTTCATTGGCCCCAGATCACTCAGTATCTAGCTCGCATAACTAATCGGAGGAATGCTGTTACTGCCCCTATATGAAGAACCACCGAGATGAAGTTGATGAAACCCGTTTTATGTTGAAATTACATGAATTATTAAGGCTGGTGAGATTTTGAGGAGAGGATACTAAGTAGTGCGTTGTTTTAGGATATTGGGAGGTGGAAGGCTTGCCGAGCTCGCTATGCCTTGTGCTGGTCTAAATGGACCAACGAGTCAATATGACTATGTGCATGTAGAATAGTGTAAACAGACTACTTAAAGACTACATGACATGTATGTAGAGAGTAAATACAGATACGCGCTGTAAATAGTACTTCAGGTACCTGATAATTCCATAGTAAACACCGGTGTAGTCCAGGTACCAGTACCTGATGGGTCTAGATCCCGCTGATCCTGACCTCCGTGCACCCGTGGACCTCCGTGCTCTGCGGGATTCGAGAAAAAATAAACACACAAAGAGGAGAACCTTCCAAGGGAATAAGAGAGAAACCTCAAATATTTTAGAAATATCAGCTTTATATGCAAATCGATGAGTTGATATTCTCCTGTTTTAGGCCGTGTCTAGACCGCCCGGCCCCCATCGAACTAACGGAAAATCCCCTCCCCTCTTCTGGGCCTCTCTCCAATATTTCATATGGTGGATGTCGAAGTCTCCATCCACCGTACCCTATTCATACAATTGAATGTTATGGTCGTTGCCCTTAGATAAACAAACCCGAAACCCTCGAACCGATCTCACCTTCACTTGCCACATGGACTATGCCCGACACGCCTGAGCCGGATGTCTCTCATATTGTCCACCCTGGTCCCACCATGCCATTCCCCTCCTGCACATCCGAATGCATCACTGGTGATGGATTAAACGTTCATGAAGACGGAGATGTGCAACGCGACTTGGGAACATGGAATGATGGCGCCCAGACCACTGCCATTGAACAGTTGGTTACACTCAAGCGGGGATTGCGGGCATCTGATACCGAGCTGTTCTGGAAACGGCTGATGGAGGACATGACATCTATAACCAAAGCTCAGTATGGGTTTGTTGCACGGAGGGTGCACGGGAGGGAGCCCATGCCAGAACTAGGTGGACGGCGCCCGTCGCTTTTTGGTGCGGCTTTCTACTACAACGATGGTTACGAGACCGTTGGTTTGCAGCGAAACAGGTTTTTCGCGGGCGGGAACCCCTTACTGCACATGGACCACGAACGGCCTTGTTTGATCCCCGAGAATCTCAGCTCACTTGTATCGTTCGGCGATGATCACTTACCCTTCGCCGCCGATGGTTATTTGGCGATTCCTCTCTTTTCGGCTGGAAAGTGCCTGGCGCACCTCGGGTTAATGTGGTCGAAAGATGGTCTTCGGCATAGAAATTTGTCTTGGTCCTTCCTGGAAATGATTCTTCACTCGCTCGAAGACCTGATTGTACAACGACTAGACCCAGAGGAACAAATTCTAGATGAACTGTTAGATTCTCCAACGCCAAATATCTCGGATTTTCACAACCCCCAGACAGCCGCCTTTCATGAAGCCTCTCATTTCAACGCCCACCCCCTCAAACCCTACGCCCGAAGCTTATCCCATGAGTTGAGGACCCCGATGCAGGGTGTGGTGGGCATGCTTGATGTCATGCACGCTACAGTGCGCGAGGCGATTGAGAGTAAAACCCCGGTCAAATCGGGCGGGGTTTTTCAATCTCTCAAGGAGGGGATTGAGATGGTTCAGGACAGCGCGAGACGTGCTGTTGAAGCGGCTGACAATGTCGTTCATGCATACGAGCTCAACATGCAAATCCCTAAGACACCACTCCGCGAGGAGCCCGAGATACTAGGTGGTCTCACAATCCCATCTACCATACCCGAAGCTCGCCCGAGCATCTTCATCGAAGGAACGAATATCGCTGTAAATCCGTACAAACGGCGGCGCAGCCTACCACCAGAAATGAATACCCGACCAGTACGCAAACAAAGACTCCGTGCGGCGTCGTCACGGCAAGAGCTCTCGCCTCGCAGCGAAGAAGTGAAGAATGCTGTGCACGAAAGCGACCAGATTGTACATGCTATCCCAGCTCGCCAGTTCGAAGCTGTAATGGCCAACATGGTCGATCCACCCCCGTCTCTTGCAGTTCGACGATCTGCGCCTCATTTACTCCTTGAGGGCATCAATGTGAACATGAGAGGTTCTGCTTTGCGTTTTACCAAACTGCGAGATCTTCTCCGCCTGGTGATTAATGAGTCTCTTCACGTTGGTGGTCGACCGGATTCTGCTGTTAGCAATGCAACGGAGTTTGGTGAAAGGATTGAGATCCGGTCACGGTCCTCGAATGGTGAATTGTTCACCAAGGTTGTGGACTGGTCTGTAGACCCTTCATTACCGGACACCCTTCTTGCCGATGACCGCGATCTGGCCAAATTGATCTCATGCGTCTTTCTCAATGCTATTAAATTTACCAACAACGGCACCATCACTGTTTGCGCAACCATTGAACCCAAGAAGAATGATGTTCTCATTCTTGTCTGCGATACCGGCCCGGGAATTCCCGCTGCATTCCTACCCAATCTCTTCAAGCCATTTGCTCGTCAGGATGCATCGACCACAAGAAGCAAAGATGGCCTTGGTCTCGGTCTCCTTGTGGCCAAGGGCCTTTCACGGAAAATGGGCGGTGACTTGACCTGTGTGCGTTCGTCGACTTCTGGTCCTGACCGGGGTACTGAATTTCGAATCCGTATCCCCATAAACCAACATGAAGCTGAACTTCGCCCTGCAACTCCTGGTGAGAGTGTTTTGACGGCATCTACTACCGACCAAACACGACAGGGCAGTGTCAGCAGCTTTCTGTCTGATCCCTCTTCTTGCTTTAACTCCCCGTTTATCCTCCCCCAAAACTGTCAACTGCAACAGCCGACCCCGAGTACCACTGATGAAAACATATCTCAAAGCCCAACACCCTTGCGACCGACCCGTTTGCACCGGACACATATATCCGGCGATGCATATGACAAGAAGCTAGGGGAGAAATATCCGCTGCGCATCCTCGTTGCCGAAGACAATCGAATCAACCGGCGCGTACTGGTGAATATGCTTCGCAAACTTGGTTACCGCGACGTACTCGAGGCGGCGGATGGCAAAGAAGCTGTCCAGATAGTTCAAGGCATTTTATCCGCGTCAAAGCCCTCCCCTGACATTGGTCCCGATCCAGTACATGCAATGCAAGGTGTTATCCACGAGCCACCTCTGGCTACAAAAATAAAACCGATCGATGTCGTCTTGATGGATCTTTGGATGCCTGAGATGGACGGATATGAAGCCACTTCACGAATTCTCCAGATGGTCGACAACCATCGGGGCCAACATGCTGCTTTCGAGCAACCGAACCCCAACAGCCCTGACTCCATGGAAATGGATCCCATTCCCAACTCCTTTTATACGCCACAACCTCCCACAGTTCTTGCCGTGAGTGCTGACGTTAGCGACGAGGCATTGAATCGCGCGTCTAGAGTGGGGATCAAAGGCTATATGACGAAACCCTACAAACTCTCTGACCTTGAACGGTTGATTCTCGAATTCTGCGGTGGTATTGGCAACCCAATTCTCTAAACCCCAGGATGACCCCTTGACCCCTGAACGTGATATTGCTTTCTTCTTGGAATTTCCCGTCAAGACCATTATATACCCATTGGATGCGGATCTTTTCTTCATGTACAAACCCCCCAATCGTTTTCCCCCCTTCCGCCCGGGAACCTCTCAGGTTCGGGTATGCACCGACTCGGTGGCCTATTCATTTTCAATTGCCATATACCATAATTGTCATTTTTTCACCCTCCTTCATGTTTATTATCCCCATTTCGGGTACAATGATTGATGATACATCGCAAGCGATCACTACACACCCCATAGCGTCATTCAATGAAGATGTGGTAAAGAGATACCGAGATCCGAGTCCCAGCCGCGATGTTTCCACTCTAGACAGCCTTATAACCGAGCTTGTTCGCCATCACTTAAATCCAGTATGTTTGATCATCGTGTTATAATACTGTTCTCTTCTATATGAGACTATAGCCATTGTCCCCCATATCGACCTAGGCCGCTCTATCTGGATGGATTGGTGACGTACGGTCGTCGTCTACCCACTGCATTAGGCTCTGTCATCATCATTACTGGTGTGATTGTCGACTTCTTTGCCACTTCTTTGAACATGTACAAGTGACTACTTTCTACAACGCCTCCATCGTTCTTGGCTATGTGATTGAAGCCTGGGCAACATTTGGTTGTTATAGGATCACCAGTCAGTGGTCGTGGCGGCTCCCTACTTTGATCCAGATTGTTCCCTCAGCCTACCAATTCTCTCTTATTTGGTTCAGTCCGAGTCTCCCCGGTTGATTGCAAATTTCGTATTATTAGCTTCAATCGAGACTCAGTCAGGCCTTGACTACGGCAGGTTTTTGGTACTATAAAAACTACCATCATTCCATCGGCCTTTTCGAAGCTCTTTTCTGGGCTCCTTTGAGATATAACCGCTAACTATCCCCTAATATCGTAAGTGGGGACACCTTTCTATTTCTATACTTAAGAGACTACATATATGTATCAGTGTTGATGGCTGGTTAGCTTTCGACCAGCGAGAACCCGGTTGGCGTGATGGATACAAAAACCTGCAGTACTTGGTAAGCTCTTAGGCGGCCAATTTTCGGGGAACTACATTTCTCATGCTATGGCTTTGAGCTCTGTTAAAAGCCAACCGTAGCTCGGAGAGATTATTGGACTTAAAATCTCGAACACTATCGCTGTTCACATAGGCAATGTTTAGTGAACCGTAGTTGGGGTTGACATATATCGTTTTCTGAAACGATCTACGAATCACACGACAATAGAAGAAAAACCATCATTACATCCATTATCAAGATCGACATCTGACCACGCTCTAAGCACTCCGCGCCCTTTTTGCCGAAACACTGGCCGTGTGGGCTAACGAGTTCACAAAGAGATTTCGGGGATTCGAAATGCCTCCGACCAGAATTTGAAAATCTGCCGTTCGCTAGGAAAACACTATAACAACACATGCAAGAACCAATCCTCGATATTCAAGTAAACCGGTGTGTGTGATCACAGCAGAGGTGCAAGGAAGATGCAGGGCATAAGAATAGAGAGATTGTTGTATGAAATAAGACAACAGGGCATCTAAGTCAACTTCTGCTTGATGAAGAATGACCGCAGGTGAGAGAGCTGCCAGGCGCATGCGGCGGACAAAATGGCAAGCTGAATAAGAGTCCAGCGCACGACACGCGAGTTGGTGGTCTCAGACTGGTCACGGAATTCAGACTCACGTTCCTGCAAAGAAAAAAACGACATTAGTATGTTTGCTTCAATCATCGGTTCGAGCTATATATTGTATATGGGGTAATCCTATGGGGTAATGTAATCCTTACCCGCTGGTATACCTGCTCACGACGGATATCGTGCAACCGGCTGTTCAGATCCTTGACCCGCTGCACAATATCCTTCATCTTGTCCTTGTCCTCGGTCTCAATCTTGCTAGTCTCACCAATGGCAATGTCAACGGTGAGCTTGACGGCGCCCAGAGAGTTAGACATCCAGCCGGATGTGGCATCCGTCTCAGGTGTGAAGCAAATCTTGTGCTGGCCGGCATCCGCGGCGGAGAAGTGGAATCGACCAGAGTGGCTGTCCCGCTTGGAAACAACGCGGTGGTCGTTGTCGAAGGTCTCATCGACGGTGATGTGCACCTTCACGCTATGGTCAATCCCGTAGGTGCCACTCTGGGGGTTGACGATTTCTGTCTCGTAGCGGCCTATTTATGGTTTAACAATCATCTATTAGTTTGAAAATTCCGTCGTTGAAAGCTGGAGAGATTGGTGCGTACCGGCCACTAAGGTATCCTTAGGTAGGTCCTCGAAGAAGCACTTTGTTTGCCGGCCCTCCATGTAGAAGTGCAGGGCATTAGTTGGGACGAGGAGAGAAAGTAAGGAGAGTAGAGTCAGAGCTGACGCCAGCCATGACGAGGATGTCCCAGAGAAAACCATGGTGAGGGAATGAGCAATTGGATAGTCGCACGGCCAAGTGCTCTCTGTGAAGGTGTCAACATCAGGGACCATGGATCCTCACCGCCTGCCGTCTCCGGAATGTCTCCCTTTCCACCGGGCAGCCTCTGTCGATGTGATCTTCAATTTTGACATTCACTAGTCTTTATTTCATCAAACAAAAGCCGCTTTTATCTTTCCCTGGTCTCTTATAAAATCTTTAGTCGCCAAATACCGAATAAATTGTTCCTTGGTAGGCAAATACCACTCCACTCGAACCGCCAATATGGCCGCGGCCGATGTTCGCGACATGCTGGATTTGCCCGCGGAAGGGCAGCCCAGACCACACAAGAAGCAGAAGGTGGTTGAAAAGCGACCAGGTATGCGTTAAGCGCTCTATTACGAATGCGATGGATTACTGACAGTCTCCCGTTGCAGAGGGTATTACCCGTGAATTGTACGCGCTACTGGGCGAAAGGGCGCCACCAATCGCCATTAATGAGAACAAATACAAGGGCCGTCCGAAATGGATGAACAAGCTGCGCGTTAGACCATGGTATGTTGAGGATGCGGCTCTTCGGAGGTCCTGAACGCACGCTGACACTGAATCCGATCTAGGACTATGGCACCGTTCACGAACAATGCCCGTTCTGACGGTCTGGTTTTGAATCACTGGCAGAGAAAACACGAATCAGCGCGACCACCTGCACCCGCACCTGCACCCCCGCCCGAAGAGTCCCAAATGGAAGTGGATCAGCCCAAGGAAGAAGGGAAAGAGGAGGTGTCGAAACTGCCAGAGCAGGAATATGCCTTCGCCAAATACAACGTTAAACCGCGTTTGCCCCAACGATACACAGACGACGAGTACAATCGACATCTTAAAAGTGATGACTGGTCGCGCGAGGAAACGGACTATCTGGTGGACCTCGTCACTGATTACGACATTCGCTGGGTGCTCATCGCAGATCGTTATGACTACCAACCACGAATGGACACACAGCCGGATGCGAATGCCCTTGTGCCTGCAAAGCACCATCGGACAATGGAGCAGATGAAGGCCCGATACTATTTTATTGCTGCAACAATGCTCTCACTAGAGCACCCACCCTCAGAGATGTCAGAGGCCGAGTTCGAACTACATGAGAAGATGCTCAAGTTTGACCCCGACCGCGAGCGCGACCGTAAGGAACTAGCGGCTCTTCAGCTCAATCGCACAGCCGACGAGGTCCGCGAGGAGGCAATGCTACTCGAAGAATTGAAGCGTATCACAAGCAACGAGCAGAACTTTATCACCGAACGCCGCGAACTCTACTCTCGCCTCGAAGTTCCCATCAGTGTCGGCAACACCACAATGTATCAGTCCAGCGCGGGTCTTTCCCAGCTCCTGCAGACTCTACTACAAGCGGACAAGAGCAAGAAACGCCGCTCCATCCTCGGCGACGGTGCCATCCCAAGTCCCGCTGGTCAGACTCCAAGCACTGCGGGTGGCCTCGGCCGATCCGAGACCCCCGCCACACAGGGTGCAAACAAGAAGGGATCTATCACAAAGGAAACCGGTCAAATGGTACGCACGCTCACCGCAGCAGAGGAAGCCAAGTACGGTGTCCAGCACCACGAGCGTGTCTCAGCAGGTGTGCAATTCCGTAGTGATCGTGCCCAGCGACTCACGCAGGCCAAGTCCAACGTGCAAACCCAGAAACTGGCCAATGCTCTATCCGAGCTCGAGATCCCGGTGCGCCTGTTCATGCCCACCGAACGCGTATGCAAGGATTTCGAGAAACTCATTCAGTCTGTCAACATGCTTCTCGACGCCCGCAAGGTGTCTGAAAAGGTTGAAAGCGAGATCCGTGTACTTGAAGCCGCGAAGATGGAGCGCGAGCGCAAATTACGAGAAGCTGCTGGTATCTCGGGGCCAAGTGCTGACCCCGATCATCCCCATGTGAAAAAAGAAACTGAAGATGGTGACACCGGCCTTTTGGGCCATTCTACCTCACACAACACACACGGCAATGGTGGTGTGCACCAGTCTCGTACTAAAGAAGGGGATGGCAATCACAAGCGGTCTGCTAGTGTGCTCAGTGGCGCAAGCGACAAGAGCAACAAGCGGCAGAGGAGATAGATGATTTGCTTGTTAACTGGAAAAAAAACACTTCTACTGTCAAAAACACTACACCCTGATTGTGTGGATGTGAGAAGTGTAAGATGTATTAGGGATCAATTACCCATATTTCTGTACGATTAATGACACCCGATTGGGAAGCATACTCATAATTAAACCAACTCCATCCCCGCGAGTAACAATAACAGCAAAATTGGCTCCAATGTCCCCGATAACAGTATTTTTATGCTCGTCAAATCAATACACCTTCGTCAATCTGCCTCCGCCTCCACCACCAGACTTGTTCGGCTCGCCCACCGGCTGCCATAAAAAGCCCCGGGCATTCCAATGCACTCCTGATACGAATTCGCAAGATCCTCTGCCACATCACTTCTGGTAGAGTTTGCTCGTCCCAGGTCAGTCGACGGACGCTCTTGGTACTGTACTGGCGATTCCTGAGGTGGTTCTCTTGGAGGGAGGTTCGAACGTCTCTTGCTTTCCCTGTTTCTGGAAAATCTCAGTATCCAACGTCCACTGCGAGAGCGGGAAGGTTCTCCGTTTAACCTGTCTGCACTCTTGTCATTCGACGGATCGAAATACACGGATGGCCGGCTGTTCGTCTGATCAATCGAGAAGCGGCGCTTGCCTAGTGGTGAAGGGTCTGGAGTACAGACATTGCGCCCATGGGTCGAATCGTGGTACTTGTCTAACTGTGGTGGTTTGCGTGTGGACCGGCTGGCTTTCACCCATCGACATAACAACGTTTCGTCGACGTCTTCGATATAAAAACTCTTTGCAGAACTCGGTGTTTTTACAGAAGTTGGTGACTCAATGTGCTGTGCGCGGATTGAGCCTTCACGGCGGGCGTCACCTGCACTCATTCCTTCACCAGCCAAATCCACTGCCAGTGGTGCGTGAGTATTATCTCGAACCGAATGGCTTTTCATTTTGGCCCACATAGTCGGTGTCAAAACGGGCTCTTGCTTGGCATTGGTAGAACTTTTGTTCATGGGAGACCATCGGCTGTCAGATCTCTTGCAATCACGGTCAGGAGTAGATGGATGGGCTGATGATGTCAGATCGGTCCGATTTTCGGTCGATAATTTCAGCCCTTGCCCATTAAAGCCTCCCGGCCTGGGTCCTGAAGTGTCTCTGTGCCAATTCCCGTTCGAAAATGAACTGCTGTTCCTTCCAACTGTTGGTGGGTGATCTTCGGCATTGTCCACTAAGTTGTACCCATAGCCCATTCGGCGGCCCCCGGTCATCCAGCCGGGACTGACTCTGCGATGTGGACCGCCACCGTTAGCGCCATTGGAAACTCCATAAAGCTGGGGTGATTCCCAGTTTGCCGCATCAAGTTGCTCAACAAACTTGCTTTTCACAACCTCGGCAGCTGGTTCCAGTTCATTTTGGATCGAGCCAGTGTCAGCTACTATTTGTGTATGAATACTGGGTAAACAGTCTATTGCATTTGCAGCATGGACTCTCAGCGATTGGACGGCAGATGCCCCCCGCGAAAGGTTACTGCTTTGGCGCGAATAGAAAGAGGATGCATCTCGTTGATGATGCATATCCTCCTTCTGGGGCTCGGCGGCCACGAGTGTTGGTGTTCCAGATTTCTCGTGGGGTTGAGAGTTCTCTTGCGATGCCATTTGTGGCCCATACCTATTCGCACGTGGCAGTTCTGACATGGATGGATTAGCTGATCGCGGTCCGGACCCCATGCTTGTCCCAACGAGTCTGTGCGAAAGATCTAGATCACCAAGATGCGGTACTCGGGCCTCAGAGTGTGCTCCCGGAGAACTTGTTGGCTGTCGTGTTTTGGAAACCATAATTCCCGGATCTTCCCTGGCCAGCGAGATCGAAGGTGCGGCACGATAATCATTGGGATTTGATCCCATGTATTGAGCCCAGTTAGGCACAAGATTTTGATGGTTCTCACAGCTGCTGGTGCCTACCAAGCATTCAAGAGATCTGAGGCGATCTTCTTTTGCTGGATCCAGCCCTTGACTGGTAGGAAGACTTGGAAGAGATTTCGTGGAGATGTTTTGCTCGCCCGACTGCTCGTTTTTGAATGAAGGCACGGACTGGCTACCTGTGCCTTCAGCCGCAGAAGTAGGGTAAGCTGAGCGCCCCCTCTGGCTTCCTGGTGGCGTGGGTATATAATGCATCCCAAAGGGGGTTCCTGGGATATCGGATTGGTCATGCGTTTTGGTCCCCGCCCACATCTCCAAATCATTTCGCTCACGACTGCGCTCTATTAGATCATGCAACCCCATTCTGGGAAACGCCGGGCCTCTGGGCAACGGTCTCATACGGTCGGCATCCTGAGGACTCCCAATGCACTGGGCATCACTGTCGTACCCTCGTGCGCTCATTAGACTGCTTCCCATGTCCCCAACCATCGATAACCCCGTGGTTGCTTTCGATGCACTTGGCTTTAGCTTGACAGAAAATGGGAAGATGGGGCGGTGGTCGACGGAATGTCTGGATTCTCTCGAGAATCGATGGCGGAGCCGACGCGAAAGACTTGTAGATCTCCGTCTCGGATATCGAACAGGACTTGCAGTTGATCCTGGTGAAGGGCCTGCGGTATCTCAGATTAGCCAGGGGCAACCTTGAAATCGAGGATTGATCCTTGCCTTGGCCTTGCTCCCTGGGACCATCCACATACTCCATTTGGCCATCTTGGTATGATTGTGCGAAGTTACTCGGGGAGTCGGCTCGATGTCCCCTTCGGAGACGCGGACATATAAGGAAAAACATTTGACCATGGGATGTTTACAAGATGAACTTCTATATGTTCGTAAATATCTTGTTAAGGGCATTGCTGGGGAAGGCACTACCAGCAGATGTTTTGCCTTCCGTTTCAGAATATCAGGCCGCTCTTGCCGTTTATTGTGAGTTGGATCTATGGATCAGTTTAACCTTGATAGTTTGGCCTCGGGCTTGTCATCTTAGGGTAGAGGCAGAGAGTAGGTAGTGTATACAGGGGACTGGTTAGAACCATCTATGGCCAATGCGTATGGGTACTTGGACGCCTCTGTCAGCCATCCAGCTGATCTGCAGCGATCGGCTGATGGGTTGAATATTCATGGATGCAAATGGCGCAAGATCTGATTACAATATTCTTATGGTATCAGTTCATATGGGAAATAAGACATCTACCCATGAAGACTTGGGTCCAATGTGCGTGGATGTAAAATACATTAGAGTTTTCATGATCTTCATCCTACCGTTACCCGATTACCCGATACATACTAGCGTCAGAATTGGGACACGGGCCATGTCCGTAAACCTAATTTTATGGGTCAACGAACTGCCTTGCAGAGTAAACTACAAGAATCCCAAGGTATCTATTGCCGTAGATAGCTAAGCAATCGGCAATCTTGGTTAAAGAACAGAGTATAACCAATAAAACACGGAATAATATGGTATTTATCTTTGCAGTATGCAAAGTAGCCAATATAGTATAGCTACTACATTTCACTTCCAAATACACCCGACCACTGCTTCAATATTACAATGAAGTCATCTGTAGGATTGAGCGGTGGGTACAACAAACTTATGTGAAATATATCGACACTGTTGACTTCACTGACCTGGAGAAAGTAAAGAATTGATTTATAGTCGAATTGACGACCCGACCCCATACTTAGATGATTGTAAGGGAAGACTCGATAGATTCACCTTTGTTTCACCAGCGGCAAAGTTAAATTGGCCATCTTCCTGCAGCTAGTAGACTCAACCAAGGATCTCAGTCGCACTATCTCCGCGTATGCGGAGTAACATGTAACACCAGGTTTATTGGAAAATAGACTACGAATATCACAAGTTTGGTCCATAAAATGCACACGTAGTGTGTGTAGATTGTCTCTTATTACTTATTTTTGGCCGATGTAGGTATCTGAGATAAAGCAGACAAATTGTGACAGAAGGGCCTCGAAACCCCAGGGCTATATACAATAGTACCAACATCACTGGCATTCTCGTTGCCCTTGGCCGGACAGCATGCTGCAAGGTAAAGCTTGTATATACTCAACGCAGCAGACTTGCACACTGTAATGGATAGCTACATGAGGGGTGGGGTAGTCGTAGTTGTTTCAAAATCAATAAGGTTGAGAATGAGGCTGGCAGATCAGTCCTGACGCTCAAAATAAACATTCTCGCAGATTTAAGCTCCTTTGGTTTTCCTAAACGTCTCGAAGTTGAAACTCTTAAAATGCACCCTGTGATGAGACATGCATAAAAGTGATTAAGATACCTTCCAGTAACATTCAACAAGCGTCAGTAGGGTTGTTGATGCAAGAGGCCGAGACTTACACTTTATACCGCCGGTTGTAATACTATAGAGAGGTATATTTGTGCTTTGATATTAATGTTCAGGTTAAATGGAGAGTGTTTAGGATTAGCTCTTCTGTAATAATGCAACCCCCACCCCTTTCCTAGCCCATCACCATCCGCTAATCAAATCTAGCCACGATAAGATGGACTCACGTCGAGCGGACATTATAGTTGTGGCTCATTATGTATAAAAGTATTTTTAATTTCTTTATTTCCAAGAGCGACAGGAAGTACACCAAAAATGGGAGGCACGACTCGATAAAGCCGTGATATTAGCTTCAGCTTTCTCTCCATGAACAAGTATAAATTTCTTCTTTTCTCCTATTAATATCTACACAAACGACTCCTCGCATTGCAAGGATACATTCAAATCATCAACTCATAATTGATTTCAAAAACTTTGTTCGCCATCATGGTGGAGTTCATACTCGTCAAATAACTCGGCCAGTTCAAGTTAATCTCATTTCTCCTACCTGTAGCTAGTCGAGCCTAGCTCATATAAACGGGGAGTCTGAGCAGTATCCAGTTCGTGCATTTGCTTATAATTTTCCATTGGATATCCTGTTGACTGGTGTGGCGGATATCCCGTGGATGGTTGTAGTGACTGCGGAGGACCGTGGGCCATAAATAGTTGCTCTTGTGATAACGAAGGCTGCTTTGCCTTTCGGCGATAGTTCCACCAAAATATGAGGCCTGCAATAAGTGCAATGCCTGCAATCGGGCCAACAACAACACCCGCAATCCAAGCTTTGCTGGAACTTGTTGTTGTTGTGGCCGCAGTAGACGTTGGTGATTGACTGACTGACGAACCCGTAGTGGATATAGGTTTTGTTGGAGCTGGAGTAGTTGTGGGAAATTGACCAGTTCGTAAAGTTGTAGTGGATGGGGTTGGAGAGGAGGCTGGGATTATAGTTAGTCGGGGTATTCGATGTATAGATCTTGTTCCTTGAAAGGATAGTGACGGGGTGCAGTACTTGACTCGGTTGTTGTTGCTTCCAGTTCGCGATATATCGTGTTTGCCTTCCAACGAAACCCACAAAAGATATTACTCGCCGAGGGTGTTGCGTAGGGGAATGTTTGAAAAATTGTCATAGTGACACATGTAGCGCTGCCACTATGGGAAAGAACAGGATCTAAGTCAATATTCACATTCATAAGTTGGAATCTACTATTGATTGGCAGCTCACCAAGAACCTATAAGGCCATCATCATATGTGATATTGTTATTGGCACAGTTTGTGGCAAACCTGCAGGAATTTCCGTTGCAACCAGCTGCGTAGTTCCCCGATGTCGTCCATGTTTTTGGATCCGTCATTGCCTCGGCTGTGAAATCAAGGTTAATAACGTTTATAACAAGGCTAACCTTAGAAAAGGATTTGCTATATAGGGTGTTCTTACTGTTTTCTGGACCCAAATACCATCCCATAAACCCAGTCTCACTTTGTATCGACGTGTCGAACTCGGTTGTCTTGCCATAGACTCCATGAGACCAAAGACCTCCGCTCAGAAAGATAAGCGTAAGGCATGACCAAAAACGTGAAAATAAAGTGAGAATCATCGAATTTTCTGTTAGACTTGGCATCTAACAATTCGAAACAGACCGATTAGAATGGATGTGCATCCACGTGGTTGACGTATAATTCAAAAAAGGACTGATTTGGTTGTTCTCCAGAAACCGTCTTGCTTACACCAGTAACGTGGGAAACTAGTAGGAGAGAAAAGGGGGCAGACATAATATGCATCATATATACCAGTGACGCTATTTTCCCACTAAATTGGCGACGAGACTAGGTACCCGTATCATACGGAGCTAGTATGTCGTTTCAGTGTACTAATTATGGGAGTTTAAGCAATCTAATTCGGTGGGATGGGTTATAGTCCAATCAAGACATTCTGTTAGCCGACTTAATATTTTAGATGGCCTTGGCAATACCTAGGGGCACGAACCTCTATCCTAATAATATGCATCCACTCGGATCACATAGTGGGGGCGGGAAATATGTAAGATAAGGGAATATTCTCTTGCTTTCTTTGAACTACTTTCTTTGATCGAATTCCATATATCCCACGTTTCCCTCCCGGGGCTCTCGTGTTACCTTATTCATCTTTCAATGTCAACTAACCTAAAGAACTCGCGCTCCTTGCGCTTAACTGTCGCCGTTATTATTCCACTTGCGCTCTTTTGTTATCTATACTCGTGGAAACAAATCCCATCTGTCTCTAATACCACAATACCGGACCCCGGGACGACTACCACCACAGCGGCCCCGATTTCAACATCAGTGCCTCCAAAGGAACATCCTTCTCCAGCACCCATTTATACGCTTCCAGACAAGGTCTGGCATTCCGCCAAATTTGATAATATATCAGAAAATCAACGTGAATGGACCGGCAGCTGGACAAAGAAAAACCCCACTTTCCGCTCGGAATTGTTGACCGATCGATCGGCTGAAGCCTTCGTTCGCACTCAGTATTATAAAACGCGACCGGACATCGTCGAAGTCTATGAAGCCCTTACAATACCCATCCTACGTGCAGACTTGTTCCGTTACTTGGTTGTTCTCGCCGAAGGCGGAATTTGGGGAGATTTAGACACTTCATGCGAGAAAGAGGTTTCTGAGTGGGTACCCGTGGAATACCAAAATGAGAACATCGATATGATTGTCGGATTGGAGTTCGACTTTGAATGGCGAGGACCGGGGACAGAAGTTGCTTCCCAGTTCTGCAACTGGATATTTGTCGCACGGAAGTCGTCGCGCAATCTTCAAATTATCGTTGACACTGTCGTCAAGACCTTGAAAGATATTGCCCGAGAAAACGCCGTGGGCATCGAAGGAATTACCCTAGAAATGCTTTCGGACGTCGTCAACGTGACGGGACCTAAGATTATGACGATCGCGATCATGGACAGTCTCGAACAATTGCTCGGCAGACCCGTGGATGATCGCGATTATGCACACACTAAACGGCCTAAGCTGGTCGGTGATGTTTTGATCATGCCTGGAGTCTCTTTCGCTGCTCTTCAAAATGGAAACCCGACGGATCAAGGTGATGTCCTTGTGACTCATCATTATGAGGGCTCATGGAAGAAGGCAGATGCAGAAGCAAAGGCGCAGAAAAAACTAAAGCAAGAACAAGAACAAGAACAGCAGCAACAGGAAGAGGCATCATCACCACCACCTCCACCTCCACCTCCAGCACCAGAAATATCAGCATCACCTGTTGCTGCGGCCTGATCGGAAGTACGATAAGAAATGAAGAGTAGCGAGCTACATTCCTTTTCTCCTGGGCTTTCTTTTTTTTACTTCCCCAGGTGGAAAGTCTTTCGCTGGAATCCCAAAAACAGGATTGGAGAGAATAAACTGTGTAACTATCATCAGGAGTCTTGTCTATTTCCGGTTTATGTTATTTAGCATGTTATATCAATCAAGCGTTACGTTTTTCCGTTTATCATTTTCAATTCTCCATCCAAAGAAATTCAAACACCTATCCCCAGAGATATTACATTGTGGCTGACGCCTGTATTCTGTGTAATGTACATGCCCGAACAAGACTGAACACACCGGTAAAGTATTGGTAGCCTTGTATTGTCAAGCTTAGGATTTCTAGCCGCCCACGGAGTACTGCCCAACAAAAGTGTCTGGCGCAAATAGGAATAGAAGCGCTGGTGGCGCTCGAACTAAGTACATAATGAAATTGGGAGATTGGGATGTTGATCACCCGGGGGCCCGCGCAAAGGATGCTGACCAATCTAGAACCAAAGAGGCCCCGAGCAACCTTGAAAGATCATGAGTGGCCCAAACGGCAAGAGGAACAGGTACAAATTGACTGCTAACGATAGAGACTTGGAATAACTTATGAGTTCATAACAGTAGGTTCAATTCAGTAGTAAATTAAGATCCAAAAGGAAGTAAGAGCAAGAAACCTACCGTCGTCTCTGACCGCCAAATAATGCCTGAGGCGGGGAATCCACGTGACACCATCTACCCTAGGTAAGTCGATAAAAATAGCATGTGGATCATAAAGTCGGATCCTACCGACTCCCGAGGGAGATCATTTTGATGGTGGAGCTATACTCCACTTAGGAATCCTTTACTCCGCTGGAATGAATGCTCATTATCTTATGCGACACTCTTGTAGTTTCATCATATTCTTAAAAACAACTTGACTCTCCCGAGAGGCGGATATCGAGACGAACGCAAGGGTTGTATAAACCCGACCAGATGTGAAGGCTACTTCCATGCAGGTACCCGAAGAAGACACACTCTGGGCGCTACTAGACACTAATGTACGCAAGGCTTATTCTTCGGCTATTATCAAGGACCTTGGAAATATGATGTTATGTCTACTAGCATCGTTTATCCACTATAAATGATCTTACTTTATACAATCATACTTGCAGATACCTGTGTACATATGATCAAATTCAAGATATCTCTCCCAATCATAGGCGGTCAGATACCCGTCGGCCGCCTCGCTGCTTCCAATATGGGCAGATGGAGGTGGCACGTGCTACATATGCCACGCTCCGTCCGACTTCTTTTTGGTCTCTTCATAAACAACGCGTCGAGCTACACAGACCCCATCACCTTTCGGTTCACTAGGTTCGCTGTCATTCTCATCTTTATGCATAGCCATCAATATGACTGATCAGATTGCAGCCAAGATGCAAATTCACCTTGTCCTAGCAGGGATCTTCCTGTTGCTGGCTACTGCCATAGCAAGTGTTCCCACAATCGAGATCAAAGCAAGTATTTCTACACTGTTCAGAGGATCCAAGCAACTAACATGTGAATGCCCAGGGGTCCAAGTTCTTTTATGCAAATAATGGATCGCAGTTGTGAGTTGGTAGACTACTGTGAAACCGTTTCAAGCGTTAATCCTACGACCAGTTACATCCGTGGCATTGCTTATCAGGGTATGAATCTCAGAGGATACGGCTCTTCTCATAGCCCTATGCTGACCATTATCTAGAGGACTACAATGCCGGAGGAGCCGAAGGTACCGGTCAATCAAATGGTGTTCATTACACCGATCCTCTGGCGGATGGTTCGTACTGCGATCGTGATATCCCCTACCTCCAACAACTTCGCACCAACGTCATTCGGACCTACGCTGTCGACCCGACCAAAGGCCACGATACTTGTATGAAGAAATTGGCTGATGCAGGAATTTATGTCATTGCCGACCTCTCATCTCCTCAGCTGTCGATTGTCTCCAACTCACCATCCTGGACCGTTGAATTGTACGATCGATATACTGCTGTGGTTGATGCCTTCCACCAGTATGATAACGTGATTGGGTTCTTTGCCGGCAACGAAGTTGTGGACAAATTGAACCAGACAATGGGCTCAGCATTTGTCAAAGCAGCGGTTCGCGACATGAAAGCCTATGTCAAAGCTAAGGGATACAGGAAGTCCTTGGGCTTTGGTTACGCAACTACCGATCAACCAGATTTTCGTAACGAGCTGACAGACTATCTCAGCTGTGGAGATCAGTCTACCTCCATTGATTTCTTCGGTTACAATATCTACGAGTGGTGTGGAGACAACACGTTCCAGGGCTCCGGTTACAAAAATCTCACCGAGCAGTACAATGATTATCCTCTCCCGATATTCTTCTCTGAATATGGATGCAACACTATCAGACCTCGTAGGTTTGGCGACATCTCTGCAATTTTCGGACCGGATATGGAAAATGTTTGGAGTGGTGGCATTGTCTACATGTACTTTCAAAGTACTAACGACTACGGGCTCGTCTCTGTCGACGGGGACTCTGTCATCACTCAGCAAGACTTCGGCTATTACTCGAAGGCGATTCAAACTGCCACCCCCAGTGGTGTCAACAGTGGCAGCTACACCCCCACAAACTCTCCACGCTCCTGTCCTACCGTTGACGAAAAGTGGTTGGCAAAGTCCAGTCCCCTACCACCTTCTCCGAACAAAGAATTGTGTTCCTGCATGGTGGACAGTCTTTCCTGTGTAGCCAGTCAGTCTCTGCATGCAGACCAATATGGTGACTTGTTCGGTACAGTCTGCGGAAGCGACAAGACCGCCTGCGACAGAATTTCCCAGAACGCAACCACGGGGCAGTACGGTGCCTACGGTATCTGCGCCAACAAGGATAAACTCTCTTACATCCTTGACCGCTACTACCAGGACCAAAAAAAGGACCAGTCGGCGTGCGATTTCAAAGGGGCAGCGTCTATCCAGTCTGCCAGAGATCCATCTGGAAGTTGCAAGTCACTTCTCAACCAGGCTGGCATAGCTGGAACGGGCCACGTTCCGGCGGTAACAGCGTCCCCATCTAAGGGAGAATGTGCCTGCCAGAAGGAACCATTTGATGTCCACCGCATCCCATGGACTTCATGGTTATTGTTGATTGCGACATTCTTGGCTAACTACTACTTGGTCGACTACATTCCCCTTCTTTGTGAACGTTATTATCTACATCGTCAACAATGAGTCGCCCGTGTGGGATGGGCATTTTACTGGGAAGAGAAACCGGGGTTTCTTCCGGGAGAATGTTATGGAGGTGAATTAGCAAATGGAATCCATTTTAACTAGTATCCATTAGTCGCAGGAAGATTAGCTTCCTGAATACTACACTAGCTTCGGAAATTTTTTCTTCGTCACGAGAAAATGTACCATCTTCGGAAGTAGATCCTCGTCTCTGGTAGTCGCTCTTAGCCAGGGTCATATGTTAGACCCTCCTATGGATGCTTGACTGCTTGCTGGCAGACTGAGTAGATTGTTTGCTAGACACCAGGGTATAAATACCCTGCTTTCTCATGGATTGAACATCAGGGATTTCTTTCTTCTTCCACTATCCCTAGCCACAACCTCATATCCCTCGGAAAACCAAAATCGTCCGGCGGAGAGTCTCATGGCCACTGAAGATTCGTCGGACGGATTTCTGATTGGCATGGTGGACGCCCTCTGGATCGGTTTTGTTATTGATGGTGGATAGTACCCAGAGTCCCGCTCGTTTGCGACTCCCATGATTGAAACCATATTGATATTTTCTTATTTCCAGATACCTTATGTAGATGTAGAAGTAGTCATGATAATAGTTTTCCGAACATAGAGTGACAGGTAGATATTGCCGTGATAAATGTTGAATCTCCACCCGTCCATACTTATCATGAAGTTTGGAATTCGATCCTCGGCGAGATCCATTCATTACTGTACCTGTTGAACCCGTTAAATTGCCGAGCGGTGCCCATGATGTATAGAGATACTTAGTCAGCAGTCCCGCGCCCCACGTGGGGCCCAAGACCGGGGACAATTTTTTTTACAAAAAATTACAGATCTCACTCACTCCCACATCCCATCGCATTCCCCTCTTTAAACCTTTTCTCTCGTTTCAGACGTCAAGTCAAATACCGCAAAAATGGGCAACGTAAGGAATCCCTCAGCCATACAGACAACCCATTCTGAGTTCTTTGTTTTGGCCCAACGCGCAGTGAACTAACAATACTCAATAGGGAGCCAAGGCCAACATGAAGCGCGAGCGCAACGCAAAGGACACCAAGACCGCTAAGTCGCAGACCAAGAGCGTAAGTCAACATCGCCTCCAACGCCCATATTGTTTCTCCAGTCGCTAACCCACATTCTTATCTAGAACGAGAAAGCCATGAGCATCCAGTGCCAGGTCTGCAGACAAACTTTCCTCCAGACCACCAAGGCCCCTGCGTACGTGATACACCCTCATCCCTTACGAATCAATTCATTCCTGTCGGTAAATGGGTTTCTTTGCTAACACATGCGACTATAGTCTCCTCGAGCACGCCTCCAACAAGCACAGCAAGGGTCTTGCTGAGTGCTTCCCCGGTGTCAGCGCATAGACAACAACTCCGGCGGAACCGATACCATTTTTCTTTACGATATCACGGGTTAGCATGGCTTTAGGAGTTTTGAAAGCGAAAATATCTAGGAACTGGACTTGGGAGAGCGGACACTCTACGTAGATGACTACGTAAGTGTAGGGGAGGAGATCTTCATGGGGCGTACATGCATGCGGTGATGGTGTGAAGGCCCCTTATGATTATAGACACAGTCGACCATACATATGATCTTTCTCTCCCTCTATGCTCATTGATTTTTCCTTGCAGTAACAATGGAAGGGGGTGAAACCTCTCCCGATCAAGACCTATACTTGCGGGGATTGGATATGGAGCACGATCGTAGGCCTGTGGGGCGAAGATAGGCTGTACCTTTTGGTATACTAAAATAGATTATCTAGAGAGATCAAGCACATAGATAGAATTCGGTGCTCGACTCGTCGCAAAAGTGCAAGAAAGAAGAAGACAGATAATGGACGAATACTGACCCTGTCTATATCAATCGATTTCACTGATGGTGAAACGGATCCTCCGATTAGTACTCCCTGCACAGTCTACACACTTATATACCATCATCCTCCTGCTCAAGCTCACTCTCCGTGATATATGCATCCCATGCCTCACAAGTAGAAGCCAAAGTATCATAATCAATCAGTTGCCGCGCCTCCGCATACCTCTCCAAGAACTGAATAGCGAACCCCTCCTCAGTATGCCATCCAATATGGCAATGCATCAGCCAAGCCCCGGGGTTATCAGTCTTGAACGCAACAACAAGGTACCCAGAACCCGGGAGCATAGCCACATCCCGGCGGGGCGGGTTCGTCAAGCTCGTGATATCAGAGGAGCTGTACGTCCCCGTTCCCTGTGCGAGAATAAAGAAGTCGTGACCGTGTAAGTGGATAGGATGCGGGACAGCCAGGGCGGTTTCAATAACAACGTAGGACCACTCGTCTGCGGTTGGGAGCACCACTACGCCGCTTTCGTTGGTGAATGTTGTGTCGTTGTTCCAGATTTGCATTAGGGTCGGGTTGTCCCAGTATACTTGCATTGATGTTCCGTTCATCTTCCAGCGGAAGAGACTCTCGGAATTCGTGCCTAGTGTGACTGGCTCGCTGGAATTGTAGTATGGTTCTGATGCGCTCTGGACCAGGTACGGGACGAGATCGGAGAGGTCCATGTCGTCACAACTATCGGTGTACGAGTATGCGGTCGTGGTGGGCGTAGATGGTGTGCTACCGTAATAGACGATTCCTTTGATGTTGTCTGTGCTGTCGTTGTCGGAACAGGCGGACTGAGGGACTGCGCGCATCCAGAAACTGTCGCTTCCTGTGGATTGATCTGCGTTTACCACAATATCGTACCGTTGACCTGCATGGGAAAAATAGTTAGTAAGGATACATGCAGATGGTAGGTAATCGGCCTCTTACCCATGCCGATGCTCAAGACAGTTGTATTGAATGGCTCAATGGGTACCAAGTCCATTGCCATCACCGTCAGAGTATGGTTATCAATTGAGAACTTGAAGTGTGTGTCTACCGCAGCATTCACAAGACGAAAGCGATAGGAGGTGTCCGCCGTGAATGATGTGTTGAAGCGATAGCCTGTTTGGCTCGTTGAATTGTCATCTCCATATACATTGGTGCCGTTGATGAGGCCATTGTCCAATGTGGGTGGGCCATTGGCCTGGGCAGTGGCATAGAGCTCGTCAACAGTCTGGTGACTCCAGTCATTGAGGAACAAAACTCCTTTGTCCACATCATAGTTTTCGGTGGCAGGCCCGTTGATCACGATTCCACCGAAGACACCTTCATAGGCTTGTAACCCAATATGAGAATGATACCATGATGTACCATATTGTGTGGCCCTCCACTTATAGGTTGTCGTATATCCTGGAGCAGTAGGACATTGGGTGATGGATACAACACCATCGTTCGGATTGGTATAGTTCTGACGGATGCCGTGAAAATGGATGCTGGACCCGTTGTTTGAGGTCAGACTGTTGGTGACATGAACGATAACATTATCACCCCAGTTGGCCTCGATGGTAGGGCCTGGGATTGACCCGTTGATTGCCATTGCTGCGCGGGAGTAGCCATCCGGAGCAACGGTGACATCCTCGATGTTGAGGTAATACTCTCTGGTCATGCCCGTGGTGGGGACGACATCGTAATAGTTTGTGCTCACGTCCAAGGTGCACCAGCTCTGTCTATCAGTTGCAATGTTTCCGGAGCAAGCATCCCGTTTTAGTCTGGGGTGTTTGCTGTGGTGGATTGAGCTTGCCGATGCTACTCCGGCGATGGCCAAAAGAGCGGTCCAAATCTTCATGGTCGGTCACGAATGCCAGCAATTTGAACTGTAGTGGACAAACACAGAGTAGATTCATAGACTAGTGGGAATTGAAAGGAAAGCAGAATAATAACGAACGTGACGTTGTTGGAAAGGACTGTCAGATAATTTGTAGAAAGGTGTTGTTGCTACAAACCAGCTTTTATCAACATATATAATGCTCTGATGCCCTACCATTCTGATGCTCTGCAACAAAAGTCGGAATATGTCTCGATTATGAACAAGATCAGCCAGCTCGTTGGATACGAGGTCTGATTGGACAGGCTCAACATATAAGGGTGCGTAAGCTCAGACCTAGATCTCGGGATGTGCCGATCCGTGACGACCCAGAGCTGCCTATTTGCGAGGCTAGCTTTAAAGTTAGCACCGCACAAGGATGGCCAGAAATAGAAACCCAATAGACCTATGACCTAGAAGTGGACCTACGCGATTGGAAATTAGGCCCTAATGCAGGCCCCGTCACGAACTACGCGGCGAAGATTAAGATAGAGCAAAGATAAAGGATGATTTCCAAAGACCACCGGAATACCTCAATTAAAGGAAAGGTGTATAGAAATTATAGACTATCGCCATACTTTAGGAGCCCTCATCCAGATTGGAATTAACTGACTACTCCCAACCCGAACAATAAATGCTATTGTAACCTACTTCCTCTTATTTAACACCATGAATCTGCGACATAGACTGCAATGAGGTGTTGGCCAAAGTCTGTGCGTTCTTTCAAGCTATCTGACGTCCTTCAGGTACAAACCAGGAACCACCGCGGCACCGACGTCAGCCAACGCGCGGCCCGGCCTCGCCCACAAACCCACTTTTGATAACTATCTAGAGACTATATTTTGCGATGAGACGTAAACTTGTCTAAACGGCGATTGCGTACTGCGTTTTAACCCTAAATTCCGACTAAGCGTCGTCCTGCCGCCGAGACCGTAAAATGCAAAAGGATTACGTATATAGGGAACTACAGCAAAATAGTCAGGTTCTTGTTAAATTTCGTTCAAAGTCAGACATCTTTCTCATTATCTGCTATCCGCTATGTTCCGTTTCTCAGTCTTCTACATGGCGCTGTGCCTAGGAGCGTCCGCGTACGCTGCTAGAATCGTCTCGCGGAGCGGTCCCAGCGCGGGTGAGAAGTTCGGACTTTATGCGTATGGGGAGTCAGTTGGTGGTCTCTCTTTGTTCTATGGAGATGGTAGGGTTTTTATATTCACAGACCACTATCTAGAAGCATGCTCACGAAGTGCTAGGCAAGGCTCTGATTGGCGATCCAGCCCACTCAAATGCTTCGAATACTTCAAGTATATATTGTCAGCGAAATACCCCATCCCCCAGTCATGATTATATGCTAATGTGAGAGATACTAGTTGAACGTGCATCTGAGTCCTCGGATAGCACTTGGATCGCCAACCCGAATGGAACCTCAAATGCGAACACCAGCTGGTCGGATGAGATGCTTTACATCCCCAGTTCGTCATCTTCGGACCATGGAATGGGCTTTACATCTATGAATATGTCGAAACGGACGACTACAGGTTTTATCTTCTATGGAAATTGGATGATGGTAGAATCGGATTCTGGCGACATCTCTTCCAGCTTCTACGTTCAAGAGAACTCGCAGGGCGAAGGGGTTTACTCATTGCTATGGAATGTGTCTGATGAGACAACTGCTATTCCAGTATCTTTGCGTTCCGTGAAACCTTCTAGTGCTTGAGATATTAGTTGAAAGCGGAACGGGGGCTTTCTGTTACTTGGACGCCTCTCTTCCAAAGAGCAGCTGTGGGTCGATGATGTTGCCGGTGCATGAAGTAGATCGTACTAACTGCAAATTTCTCTGTGGATTAGCCGACGATCTAAATTATCATTATCATTGAGATTGGCATTGCTGCGGCGTAGATTCCCATCGTCACAAGACGTGCGTAGCGTGAGTTTATGGAACCCATTACGTAGACTAGGACATGAGGCTAGATGTGGGTTTGTGTCTCCTTTTCCCACTGCCTCTTTGGACACAAGGGAGGCTTGTATCGGGAAACTCACGTACTTAGGCGATTGACGGGTTGCCTTCCGAAGCAATATGGCTTTCTCGGGTTTCCACCTCAAAGGTGCCATTCGAGTAAATATTAATCCTCATAACACAGAATTGACAATATATTGCACCATAGCGCACTCGCTTCTTCATTGTGTATGTGGCACTGCTGGTCTCGCAGGATTACCCCGTGAGGGGTCTCCTTCGCTTCAGGCTACTACTACTATAGCCTAATATGAAACGTGGCGTGAAGAATTGCTTCAAGGCTGGCACGAGAACCACGTCGCACTTTTCGTATTAAATTATGAACCCCCTTTCAAGACCCCGGCCAACTGGCGAGTAGTCAAAGCTCCCATACCCAGCCTCCCGCCAAAGGGGCCTTTGAAATGACTACCCAGAAGTACGATGTAGGCCCCAGTCCCATCCCATTGATGGGACTGGGGCCTACATCGTACTTAAGATAAGCATGATATTTGAAGAAAGGAATCATGAATTGAATTCCAATGCCAATGTTCGAAAATGAATACGAAACTGCACAGCATCGGTATATAAGTAACGTCCATATGCACACCCATGTAGTACTTCGCATCTAGATTGCCATGTGACTACAGCTGAATTAACCCTTCACTTGCCCAGACACAATACCCGATAATTGGCCGACTCCAGGAAACTGAACACGCGGGTCTTGTCTATATACGGTATTTCAATCAAAAGGATTTCTGACACCTCCCTAGACCCGAAACGCATATAAGAGGCAAGGAGACTGTCTCCAAGACTCTCCAAGAGTGACACCGTTATTAGAATGAGGTCCTTTCTGCGACTTTTAGGGCTCGCCTGTGCTCTTGGCACTGGGGGTGCAATAAATGCAGATGTCTCGACTTGCACTTCCACCGCCAACACTTTGGGGTCATTCAATTTGACAGCTGGTGCTGCTTGTGCTTGCAAGAAGCTCCCTGCCTCTTACCCAAAGCAATACATTTCTCCCGTCTCACCAAACTACAACGAGCAGGCAACAAACTACTGGGATGCTCGAGCCGATTTGAGCCCAGCTTGCATCTTTATGCCCAAGAATGCCGACCAAGTTGCTGCTGCGGTTGGGGTCTTTGTTCAATGTGATGCCCAATTTGCTGTTCGTGGCGGTGGACATATGAATGCAAGAAATACCATGCTAAGATTACACAAGCAGATCTAACACCGACTGTACAGGTCCCAGGCTCAAATAACATTGATGGCGGTGTCCTTTTGGCGTTCAATGAAATGACCAGGTATAAAGTTAACAAGGACACAATCGAGGTACAGCCGGGAATGACTTGGTATGATGTGTATTCAGCACTTGACCCATACGGCCGGACGGCCATCGGTGGTCGTCTGAAAACCATTGGAGTACCAGGTCTCACTCTCATCGGCGGAGTATCTTACTACATCAACAAACACGGCTTCGCTATGGACAACGTCGCCAGTTACGATATTGTACTTGGAAATGGCACTCTGACAATTGCGAGTGCTACCGCAAACCCCGACCTGTTCTGGGCCTTGAAGGGAGGTGCCAGCAACTATGGAATTGTGACAAAATTTACCTTGAAGACATATTCTATGCCGCACATCAGCACCACTATTCAAATCTTTAATGAGACCTCGACGCCTGCTTTCAGTCAGGCGATCTGCAACTGGGCAGTCGGTAATAGCAATAGCCCTGTTGCTGCTGGCTCCGTGATTACCATGACTTACAATACGACCACCAAGCAGATGTCTTCCAGTCTCCTTGGCGTTCAAGCTGGAATCAGTAATCCGCCATCTGGGTTCAGGAACTTTACCGCTATTCCCGGACTTTCCAAGACTCACAACGTTACGACCGGGAAGCAATGGGCATCTAATCTGGACACTCCCAAGCAAATGTTCCGGTGAGTTGTTGCGGATATCTGACCAATTTGAAGCTTTGTGCATCTGACCGTAGCTATATTTATTGACAGGGACATGTTTTCACACCACTCGATGACACCCGACGCTGAAGTCTTTACATTCATGATCGAGACATGGAAAAAAGCTGTCAAAGATATTGCCGATGTTAAAGGTCTCCACCCAACCTTTGTGGCAAACATATCCCCAGCGAGCGCCTCGAGAGTTTCGAAGACCAATGGTATTAGCAATGTGTGGGATCTTGACGATGAAGCTCTGATATGTAGGACATCCCATATGCTTTTATTTTCAAGAATTTACCCGGAGCAGATGATGCTGATCACTACCTGATAGGGTGGCAACTTAGCACCAGTTGGGAACTGCCCCAAGATGACCTCCGAGTGCAATCTTGGGCTCGTCAATTGACTGAACACCTTCACGAATTGAACAAACACAATGGCCTTGCAAGGGAATTTGTCTACATGGGCGACGCAGGCGAGTGGCAGGATCCTTATGCCGGATTTAAGCCTGCCAATGTTCAGCGAATGAAAGAAATCAGAGCAGCCTATGATCCCAAGGGGACCTTTTCGAGGCTGAACTGGGGTGGGTTCAAGCTTGGCTACTGATGATATCCCGAGGACGATTCACTACCAATCAGCCTATGTTTCCCCTTAACTACAAGAGTCATCACGCACACATGGGCATGAGATCAAGGCCTTGAAAAAAAAAATGAACAACAATACGATTCGCCCATGGAGGCAGATGGATCTATCACCAGGACGAATCAGGCTTTCTTGTCCCAACAATTTGGGACGCATAAATTTCAATATTGACATGGAAGGAGATCTCTAACTATAGACGAGGCTATCTAGCAGTAAAACCACCATCAACTCTAATATCCGCACCGTTGATCATGCCACTCGAATCCTATTGCAAAAGTTAGAACAAGAGATGTAGCTCACCAATCCCAAGAAACATACCTGACAAAGAAACAGCACGGAATCAGCAACCTCCTCCGGAAGCGCAAACTTGCCTGTCGGTATACTCGCCAAGAAGGCCTTGCGAACATTCGCCTCCCCCCAAGCTTTCCTCCCAAGTTCCGTCCACGCCACAGTCGGAGACACAGTGTTAGCCGTGATACCCCGACCAGCCCACTCAGAGGCCATACTGCGCGTCAGACCCAAAAGCCCAGCCTTCGAAGCACAATACGCGCCATGTCGATGCAGCGCAGCATGTGCCGCCTGAGATGAAATGCTAACGATTCTTCCCGGGGGTGGAGGGTTCGGTGATGATTCGGCCGCCTTGGATGTGGCGAAATAGAGTCGAGCAAACGCTTGAGAGCAGAGCATTGGGCCGTAGATGTTAGTGGTGAGATGTTTGAGTGTTTCTTCGGGAGGTGTTATCTCCATGTCACTGAGAGATACATATCCGGCTGTGTTGATCAGGATACTTGGGAACGCGGTTTCGGATGTAGAGGATGAGGCTGGCTCAACTAATTGTTTCTCTAGAGAGTTGAATGCCGCCTGCACGGAGTCTGGTGAGGTGATGTCGCATTCATAGGTGTGGATGTCATCTAGATTGCCGCTCGCACCGTACCCGGATTCGAGAAGCTCATCGCGCCGTCCAGCTTCGAATGGTGCATAGAGAATGGCAAGACGGGCACCTTGCTGCCTTAGCTTTTGGCCTATGCTTGATCCAAGGCCGCCTAAAGAGATGTTAGGGTTCATTGTGTCCGGCGTTGTATTTATCTCGTGTCCGTACCGAGGCCACCAGGCATGATGGCTAATCTGCGTGCGAATGCCATGGTGTACAGAATCTGTTTGAGTGGCAGAGTGTCAATGAGGAAATTGCTCAAAGAGAAGCAAACAGTATGAACTTCAAGCTGTCGGACATGCTCCGTTGAGGGGAAGCCGAACGCTTTTGGAAATGATCATCCCAGTATCCACCCCCACACTTATCACAGTGCAAGGGCTGGGGAAGGCCTGGGTAGAGAGTGTTGCTACACATTGATATAAATCTTATTGGACTACCGGACAAGCTTACTACAAGACTAGCAGACTGAATTCATCAGATCCTCACCATCAGAGACATATTGCATCAATATCCGTTTTGCTCGGCATCTAATACCCCGAACCCCATTTACCTGTCTTTCTTCTCTCCTGCATGAATATCAACATCATTCAACACCGCCTGATTCTCTTTCGCTGCTGCAATTCGAATCCTCTTCAGCTTCCTCGTATCGACATCTACCCGCCAAGTAAAAGCCCAGGTGATGAGGTTCATAATAATAGCCATGCCAACAAATCCCATGGCAATCCCAAAGGAGGTCGTATATCGTGGTGCAAACCGAGAATTAAATAGCTGAGATCCCACAGCTCCTCCAATCTGGCCATAACTATTCGCAAATGCGATTGCAAAGGCGGATCCCGTGGCGCCCTCGGTGGTCTGGACGCGCCAGGGCCACATCATTGTATACCTGGTTTGTCTTAGCATGAGATATTGAAGTGGTATCTTCCCTTTAGGTTCACGCTCACCATGCAGTTGAGAAACCCCCTGCTACGATCGTCGCGGCATATACACCGCCGTTGTTTGGGAAGGCATACAGAACGCCATAGCATGCTAAAATGACAATCATGAACCCAAGCGGGATGGCTGGCTGGGGAATACGCCCGGTATCTGCGAAGATACCAAATGCCACAGTTAATATTACTGCAAAGACCGCAGATGGGATGTTAAGTAGCTGGGCTTCACCCATAGACCTTTGACCTTTGTTAGCAACTGCACTGTGTCCTTCGGGTGGGAATGGCTCACGTGAATCCGAGATTGGAAATGACGGTTGGTTGGTAGAAATTGAGCCCCGTTGTGCCGATAGTGAAGAATGCCCAACATGAGAGGAAAAGCCAGATTCGCTTATTCTTCAATGTCGTGATGAGTTCGCGCAGATTGAAGTTAGCCTCCGCCGCTCGAGGAGAGTTGCTAGGTAGACGGGCTTGAGTGAAGGCCTTTTCTTTTTCGGATAACCAGGATGCAGTTGAAGGAACTGTGGTATTGTTAGTTTCGCTTGACACTGGAAGTCTAGAGGACTCACAATCAGGTAAGAAGAAATATGTAAAGATTCCTAGTAAGACTGTGAAGATCCCTTCCGTCAAAATGAGCCTAAAAAGCACCATTAGCATATAATTCATCTTCCTGGGAGGAAATCCAAATACCATTTCCATCCAGATAAATCACCAGCAATGACACCATTGAAAGCAAATGCAAGAACACCACTGATCACAGTGCTAAAGTTTCCTAGTATAGTCACAAGAACTATCCTTGGGGCAACCTCATCTGGTCTATACCAATAGCATAACTGTAAGAGCATCCCTGGCCACAGTCCAGCCTCGAATAGTCCGAGGAAAAATCGAACGACATATAAACCCTGCCTGTTTGTCACGGCTGCATGGCAGCAGAGAACGATACCCCAAGATACCTATAACTATTAGTCACGAAATAGCCATAGATAGGATGGTTCAATATACCATAATCCGAGCTTGCCAAATCGAAGGTCGCACGCCCTTCAACAGAAGGTTGGACGGGGCTTCTGCAAGAATGTAAGGGATCTCCAAGGAATTAGTACAACCTTAGAACGACGTTTTTGGCCTGGGCTCTCTCACATAATACATAGTTGTAACCAGATTATATTGGTCTGAAGTCATTTTCAATTCAGTCAAGATGTTACGGGGTGTGCCTTGATCCATAACGCGGGCGTATGAGACCTAAAACATGGTCAGTGATCTTCCACTAGCTTTCTCCACAAAGAATCTTACATTGCTAAAATCCACGCTTTTCACCATATACATAACGGCTAACAGTGGAATCAAATGCCAGTCAATGCGTCGCAAAAGCTTCTTTTCCTCTGCGCTACTGAGCGTCGCACGTGCTCGCATCAGGGTAGCATCATAACCGGGGATGAGCTCTTCATCAAAGGACTCCGGAGTGTCATCTCCATTGCGGTTGACATAATGTACATTTCCTTTCTCCAATATCGGTGTTTTGACGGGAGAAATAGTCCCAATTTGGCCCTTCTCTGCTATCTCAGAAGACATAGTGATCACCGACTAGTGTCTTTTGTGCCTCACGGGGAAAATGTAACGCTAGAGCAATAGCAATGATAGAAGGGCTATCCAGATCATTAAATGGGATCTGACATTTCTTCTACTCCACATTCTCAAAAAGTACTGAAAGTTGGTTATCTCCTGTGTGAATTGCGCAAGATGAGCAAAGACTTCTCGGCATGGCGTGCACGTAAGGGCTTACCTACCGTATTATACTTCTCTAAGATTATAGATTGGGATAAAAGCCTCGCCTGATGTGCGCTGAGAAGCCCCTCGATTTAAAAAGCAGGATGTCGCCTATAGTCCACTAAATTGCCTATTATATTGTCCACAGTTAAAACACTCTGTGACGATTATCTCCTATGAGTCGACATTCAGACTACTTAGTTCCCTAGTATATAATACCCTAGTATCTGATAGTACAACGTCATCAATCTTGATTTTTGTCAATTCACGAAATGAATGTTGTAAATCTGGTTTTATATCGCGCTGGTTAAAATCCAACCGAATGATGTTTCGAGGTCGACAGAGCACGCAATAATTAGGACACGCTCGGCAAATCGATGCCTTGCAAGTAATCTAGTGAGTTTGCCGAGCAAAGATAATGCATGTCGCTAGATTTAAAAAAAAATTACATGCAGTAACGAAAAGAAGTAGGTATTCCAGGGCTACGGTATACGCCATTGCGGGGAGATAATCCCTAATCCGCCCCCTCTCATTCGACTTCATCTCTTCCCAGGAGTCAATAACATACTCCAGTTCGTAACCTTTACCACACTTCAATAAGCCGACAAATATGAAGGCAAATTACTTTTATGCTGTCGCATCTCTAGCAAGACTGGCACTGGCGTCGAACTTCCAACAACCTTTAAGTGGAGGAGTGATCCACGAGAACTTCAAATCTTCAAGCGTGGACTTGGATAGAATTATCGATGTGTCTCCTCTCTTGTCATTCCACAGAGACATCGTGAAAATTCAGTCAATCAGTGAACACGAGGAAAGCGTTGGAAACTTCCTCTTGGACTTCATTCTCTCACACAACTTGACCGTCGAGAAACAAATCGTCACACCGGGGAGTGAGACTGAGCAAGAAAGATTCAATATATATGCCTACACCGGGGAAAACAGATTTCCCAATGTTCTTCTGACCAGTCACATCGATACTGTCCCACCGTTCATTCCTTACGCGCTTCATCCACCAGCCTCGCGTAACACAGAGAATCTGACATTCAATCGGTCAGACCTGATTATCGCTGGCCGCGGCACAGTGGATGCCAAAGCCAGTGTCGCAGCAATACTATTTGCCGCACTGGAAACACTGGAAGCCAACCCCGACGCCTCAATCGGTTTGTTGTTTGACGTCGGTGAGGAAAAAGGTGGCGTTGGCATGAAACATTTCTCAAACTCCGATCTCAACCTAGCACCACCTACATTCCACACAGTCATATTTGGAGAGCCAACAGAGCTCAACCTTGTCGCTGGACATAAAGGTACTCTTGGGTTCAAGATTGTTGCTGAAGGAACAGCAGCGCATTCGGGATACCCCTGGCTCGGGAAAAGCGCGATCTCATCACTTCTGCCTGTTTTATCTTACCTCGATACCCTGCAAGATATCCCACCAGAGAAAGGCGGACTTCTCCGTAGTGAGAAGTTTGGTCAATCGACATTGAATATTGGGGTCGTGCGCGCTGGTTTAGCTGCTAATGTCGTTCCTGCGTATGCCGAGGCGACGATTTCCGTTCGTCTGGCGGCTGGAAGTCCAGATGAAACGAGGGAGATTGTAAGGAAGGCGGTTGAAGATGTGACTGGTGATGATGGAAGCGTCTATCTTGACTTTGGGGATACTGAGAACGGCGCTCCTCCACAACATCTTGATTTTGATGTTGACGGGTTTGACGTAATTACTGTGAACTACGGGACTGATATCCCTTGCTTGGAGATCAGTACTCAAGGTCTAAAAGTGAAGCGGTATCTCTACGGGCCGGGTAGTATTCATGTTGCCCATGGCGACGGCGAGGCAATCACTGTGGGGGAGCTTGAAGAGGCGGTGCGAGGATACAAAAGGTTGATCTCGGCCGCGCTGGGTGCCCACTAGACGTAAGCCTTCTCTTGTCTTTTGGGAATAGATCAATGCTACAATGATAATACTCTACGTTCTCGACCATATCTACGAGCCTACAAGCGGTTTGCTGACCTCGCCCACAAGACCTCGGGCCACGGCGGACCATCAGTCCAGGAAGTCCAGTAGACAAGAGGACGGCCATAGACTGGAGTGCAACACCCGGACCCCCTGTGACTGAGGCTCATGTGGTGGAGTTCGATCTCTGCTCGTGCTTTGGAGCGACATGGAAGTGAGTGATGAGAGGAATGGTTCATCACAGACACCACTTCACGTATGTCTTGGGGGCAGCAGGACTTTAGTTCAGCCTAACATAGGAATGATCCGGGACTGGAGCCTGTCAGTAGCAAACCGCCGATCTATATCCCAAGAGGGGCAGTTAGCAGCATCTGCCTTGAGATCAGATCTTCAAGGCATGACACCAAGTAGGGAGAGAAGAGGGATGAAGCATGCATGTCCTTTCGCTGGTATTGTCCAGATCAAGTTTTAACGGTAATTTCTCAGAACGAGACTCGCGCTTTTGGAAGACCAAAAATGCCAGACCTCGAACACCCGTCATGCGTGCTGCAGAAAACACACTTACCAAAAACACCCCTATATAGATACCAGATTCCCACCTTTTTTGTTTCCCTTCTTACAGTCCCGGTAGCAACCGAGAAAAGGGCAGCGGCCGTATAACCCCCGACTAGTTCAAACAGCAGTCGTATCGGGCAAGACATTCGTCTTCTCCTCGAGTCCAATAGAATGCTCTGTCTCGGTGTCCGAGTCAACGATTTTGAGATGCTCAAACCAATCACCATTGGACTTGCGCCACCACTCGGCGATCGCAATGATAGTCACACCGCCCATGATCACAATCGCGTAATTAAACAAGGTAGAGTCCTTGTCAATGGCACTGTCCGAGTAAGCCGGAGCACACAGAACAGAAAACGCAAATCCGTTCCACAAGAATGTAACCACTGCGGCAACCACGCCAAACCGGCCCAAATCCCAGAAGCCTGGACGGAACGATTTACGCGTAATGAATGCGCGGCCGATTCCAACCAAGCTGTATGCTGCGAGAGAACCTGCAGCTGAAGTTGAGACCAAGCTGGAGAAAGCCACTTGGGACGGCAGCTGGGTGCAGAGGAGAAGCGCGGCAATCACGGAAATGAAGATGACAGCGTTGTGAGGCTGCTTTGACTTCGAGACACGCGACAACACGTCGCTGAATGGGAAAACACCATCGCGTGCCACGGCGAATACAAGTCGTGATACAGCAACCAGGGAAATCGAAGTGTTGAGAATTGCTCCAATCATCGCGACAATGGTCATCACAACGTGTGCATGGGGACCGAGCGCCATCGCGTACATGTTAATGAACGGCTGGGGCACGTTAGTGTCATAGAACGTCTCAATCGGAGGCATGCAGAAGAGAAACAAGATGATGATTGGGAAGCCACACAACGCAGACGCAACGGTTGCCCAGAAGATACCCTTCGCGGCGGCTTTCTTGGCCGACACGGTCTCTTCGGCGACATGGCCCGAAGCGTCCTGTCCCACGAGACAACTGCCGACCAAGTACCAGGATAGAACCCAGTTCAGTCCGGGACTGGTGTCCCCACCATTGTATGTAGACGTAAACACGTATTCGGCTGACTGAAAACCGTACGTCTTGGACACGCCGATGGGAAGCCAGATAAAGTTGAGTAGCATATCGATGATAATGACCGTCACACCCGCTCGGAACACCCAGGAGTACATACGCGGGGGCAGGAAATTCAGCGTGGTAGCGATGGCCAGGAAAAGGAGCGAAATGGCCCATGCCACAGCGCGCGCTCGGACGTCGGCTGTTTCATATGGAAAGCTTGTCTTCGGGTCAAACACGACGATCTCCGAAATCAGGTAGTTGGCGACACCGAACGAATCGCTCGCGAGGAAGGCGGTCCATGCAACCAATGTCCATGCGGCAATTAGAAAGGAGATGAAGCGGCCGAGTTTACCGCCTCCCCAGGATCGAAAAGCCCAGTAGTAAATCGACCCTGCGGCGGGATAGCTTGAACACGCTTCAGCGAGACAGGCGGCCGTGATGACGGACAGTATGCTACCGGAGACCCAGGAGCTCCAGCTGTGGGAGTTATTAGAAATGCCATCAATGCAAAAAAGCGGGAACTGCATGCGGAAAATGGAAAACATACATGGCAGCCGGCCCACCTCCACTGAGGGCGATATAGAAAAGCACACGGATTCCTCCAACGCAATTCAAGGCCGCGAAGGAGCAGGCGAAATTGTCGAACGAGCCCCAGCCTCGGGCTAGAACAGAGCGGTAGCCAAGCTTTAGGAGGTCGCGATCATCTTCATTAGTCACAGAAACTCCGTCGGAGTTTTGATGTTCACTGTTTTGGCCATCCTCCGGGGAGTTGGCTGCATCGAGGGAAACAGCAGTGCAGGCCATGACTGCTCTTTTCGTGTCTGAGAGACTTGATACTTGGACAATGGCTTTCTTTTTTTCCTCAAGAAAAAAATGATCCAATTAACTTTTTTGCCCATCACGACATCACATCACGTGGGGCGATCAATTGCTTGAATGGACCCCGACACCGGGGTTTCTTAGATCTGAGTCATTATTATTTCTAGTAGAGAACCATGAAGAATTGACTGGAAATACTAAAGCTATTAATTCGATACTCGAGAAGACGCTGTGCATGTATGTAGATATATATGAGCTCCCAAGTTGTGTTATGCGGGTGAAGTAGCGGGGTCAATTGCCAACGTGTCAGTTGCCCCGTACTCCCCCTGTTTGCTTTTTTTTTTCTAGTAGGCTTGACCGCTCATCGATAAATTTAGATTTACAGACCTGTACAAGGCCCTTACTGAAAAGAAAAAATAAAGAACAAAATAAAGAACAAAATAAATAACAAAATAAATAACAAAATAAATAACATTAATTGACAAGACTTGTAAACAGCTCTTGCAGAGGCCTTATCAGTGTCTCAATGGCGTGATCATCCACAGGGAAGACCGATCACGGAGATCATGGGGTATTGGTACTGAAAATAACAGTAAGTTACACCAGCTCCCAAAGGATCCGCCCAGAGAGCCTGGATCCCAAGTCCACAGAGGTACGTAGAGGTACTGTACCATGTATCATACTGTACAACTACCCCTCCAACTTGCAGGTGGACCGATTCCCCATTGGGACGAAAGCCCCATTAGGATTAGCGTATGCTTCCTCCCCCTCCATATTTCTTTGAGCATTTCCCGGACTTTTCCCCCTTCTCTTCCTTCACTCTCTCAAAGGCATCGGATTTGTGAAAATTCTATCCTTGAGACTCCTTCCTTCTTTTCTCCTCTTCACATACCGTCAGAATGGTTCAATCGTATGTTGGCTCGACTCTAAAACGATTACTGAACTACTTGCTGATTATTTGGATAGATCTATTCTGGGTTTCCCCCGCATGGGAAGACTCCGTGACCTCAAGAAGGCCACCGAGGCTTACTGGGCTGACAAGATCTCCCGCGATGACCTTCTCGCTGAGGGCAAGCGTCTCCGTCTGGAGCACTGGAAGATCCAGAAGGATGCCGGTGTCGATGTCATTCCCAGCAACGACTTCGCCTTCTACGATCAGGTCCTCGACCACCACCAGCTCTTCGGAACCATCCCTGAGCGTTACTCTAAGTACAACCTCAACCCCCTCGATGAGTACTTCGCCATGGGCCGTGGTCTCCAGAAGGAGGGCATTGATGTCCCCAGTCTGGTATGTGCAAATGATTACAATATACGGGCCCCAATTCAGTATACTGACTCAATCAACAGGAAATGGTCAAGTGGTTCGACTCTAACTACCACTACGTGAAGCCCACCCTTCAGGACAACCAAGAGTTCAAGCTCGCCGCTGAGCCCAAGCCCGTTGCTGAGTTCCTTGAGGCCAAGGCCGCTGGCATCATCACCCGCCCCGTCATCCTTGGTCCCGTCTCCTTCTTGACTCTCGCCAAGGCCGACCGTGACCAGACCGTTGACCCCATCACACTGCTTGAGAAGCTCCTTCCTCTCTACGTTGAGCTTCTGTCCAAGCTCAAGGCCGCTGGCGCCGAGGATGTCCAGATTGATGAGCCCGTCCTCGTCTTCGATCTTGCTGAGAAGTCCAAGGCTGCCTTCAAGCCCGCCTACGAGAAGCTCGGTGCCCTCGGTGCTGAGGGTCCCCGCATTACTCTCGCCACCTACTTCGGTGACATCGTCCACAACATTGATGTCCTCGCCGACCTCCAGAGCCTTTACTCTATTCACATCGACCTGGTCCGCAACCCTGAGCAGCTCGACACTGTCGTCGCCGCTCTTGGCCCCAAGCAGGTCCTCTCCGCCGGTGTTGTCGACGGCCGTAACATCTGGAAGACCAACTTCAAGGCTGCCATTGAGAAGGTCGAGAACGCCATCCAGAAGCTCGGCAAGGACCGTGTCATTGTTGCCACTTCCAGCTCTCTCCTTCACGTCCCCCACACTCTCGCCAGCGAGAAGACCCTTGATGCTGAGGTCCGAGACTGGTTCTCCTTCGCTGTTGAGAAGGCCACCGAGGTTGTCGTGATCGCCAAGGCTGTCACCGAGGGCCCCGCCGCTGTTCGTGAGCAGCTCGAGGCCAACGCCAAGTCTGTTCAGGCCCGCGCTTCCTCTGCCCGCACCAACGACCCCGCTGTCAAGGCCCGCCAGGCCGCTGTCACCCCTGAGATGCACAACCGCAAGTCTGCCTTCCCCGAGCGTTACGCCGAGCAGACCAAGACTCTCAAGCTTCCTCTCTTCCCCACCACCACCATTGGTTCCTTCCCCCAGACCAAGGAGATCCGCATCCAGCGTAACAAGTTCACCAAGGGTGAGATCACTCCTGCTGAGTACGAGAAGTTCATCGAGAAGGAGATCCAGGAGGTCGTCAAGATCCAGGAGGAGCTCGACCTCGATGTCTTCGTCCACGGTGAGCCCGAGCGTAACGACATGGTGCAGTACTTCGGTGAGCGCCTCACTGGTTACGTCTTCACCACCCACGCCTGGGTTCAGTCTTACGGCTCCCGCTGCGTGCGTCCTCCCATCATTGTCGGTGATATCTCTCGTCCCGCCCCTATGACCGTCAAGGAGTCCAAGTACGCTGCCTCCATCTCCCCCAAGCCCATGAAGGGCATGCTCACTGGTCCCATCACTTGCCTGCGGTGGTCTTTCCCCCGTGACGATGTCCACCAGTCCGTCCAGGCTCAGCAGCTCGCTCTCGCTCTCCGCGACGAGGTTGTTGACCTCGAGGCCGCTGGCATCGCTGTGATCCAGGTCGACGAGCCTGCTCTCCGTGAGGGTCTCCCTCTCCGCACTGGTGAGGCTCGTGCTGCCTACCTCAAGTGGGCTGTTGACTCCTTCAAGCTGTCCACCGCTGGTGTCACCGATGGCACTCAGATCCACTCCCACTTCTGTTACTCTGAGTTCCAGGACTTCTTCCACGCCATCGCCGCTCTCGATGCCGATGTCCTGTCCATTGAGAACAGCAAGTCTGATGCTAAGCTCCTCAAGGTCTTCATCGACGAGGCCTACCCTCGCCACATCGGCCCCGGTGTTTACGATATCCACTCCCCTCGTGTTCCCACCGAGCAGGAGATCAAGGACCGCATCGAAGAGATGCTCGCATACCTTACTCCCTCCCAGCTTTGGTGCAATCCCGATTGGTTCGTTTTTTTTTGCCCCGAAATCTAATTTTCTTTTCATACTCGATGCTAATATGCCCTTTTGCAGTGGACTTAAGACTCGTGGCTGGCCCGAGACAAAGGCGGCTCTGACTGCGGTAAGCAATGGCAATTTCCCTAACATTGACGTTCAAAATGCTGATCAAATACAACAGATGGTCAACGCTGCCAAGTACTTCCGCCAGAAGTACGCGCAGTAAATTATTTAATTTACAATTAATTTAATGAGGAGGTGACAATCAACCTGTCACCTCGGGACTGGGGAGTTTTCTTTTCTGATGAGTTACGACGATGATACCAAAAGTTCAACATATGGGTTTCAACGGGTTTTCTAGAGGATACCAAAAGCGGGCCTGGAGTTTCAACATGACTGACGATTTTAAGCTGGCGCTGGCCGATATCATGACCTACTTTCGTTGTGATGTTTGGCTGGTGCTAGTTTTACCATTTCAACATTGTGTGGTTTTCCACATACAGCAAGCTCTACAACCTTGCTTGATCGAATTCGCATTGTCGAATTTGATCTACTGTTTCTATTATCGTGTAGAATCAGTTGTCAATATTACAATTTACAATACTCTTGTGTTTCTTGTAGATGATTTTACATCAACGTAGTGTTTCTCTGTCGAGAAGATGAACTCGGTAAGATTGTGCTTTTCAAAAACAACATATAGCTCTGAGAGAGATCCGAAAGCAGTCAAATTTCACCCCTGTATATTGAGCAACATGCTGCCCAGGTGGTCTGCTATATATAATATCAGCCTACACCATCCCTCACATTTCGAGTAGAATATCTGTGTCTATAGGACGAGAATGATCATCTGGACGAAAATAAGGAGTTAATCAAATTTATAAATATCTTAAATTAGTATAACCAAGCTCGTCGTACTAATCATAGGCCTCAAATAGTGGACCCAAGTCCCGGCACGACCATCGATCAGTGCCAGGTTCCTTCGCGTCCTGTGATAAGCACAGGGCAGTATGCTAGCATACCTCAAATCACGAACATCTAGAAAAGGGAGTAGACGAGCAACTCTCAAGGTTTAATCCGAAGAAGATTTGGCAAATTGCGTTTGATGAGTTCCAAAACGATGAGTCTACCAAGACTCTTGTGCATGGATATTACAGTTTCCTCCAAACTCAGCTGCCCAAATTAGCATCATTGAACAATCGGAAGTGTCATTCCAATTTTAAAAGAATGATCGTATTGACCAAGACACCAGATTCAGCCGATGATTTGGCACTGTGTCTGGGGGATCTCACTAAAAGCGACCGAAACACCATGATGGAAACACTATCAAAGTTCCGCCTCAAAGAGCTTGAGGGGTCTAGGAAGCAACGTGATGCTTACCGGGTCATTCTCACTATTATGGTCAATGTGAAAAGTACTGTCGGTGCTGTCATCTGCCATTGTCCCGCGGCAGCTGCCGGCTGGGCTTTAGCCTGCCTAGTTGTCATACCTGTAAGTAGCTGATATTGGCGGTAGTCGATATTACCATGGCTGATATCCTCAATAGATAACAGAGCATGTACAAGAGATCGACGCAAACCAAGAGGGTCTCAACTATATCCTCTCGATGCTGCCATGGTTCAACAAGCTGGTTGATCTAGTGAATTCGGATACTTGGAGTAACACACCCTCGATCAAAGAAACCCGAAACTTAATTCTCAAAGACATTGTCAACTTATACAGCCTCTTGATTGAATATCCGAAAGCTTTCATGCCGAAAAGCATTGGTTGAAGGCGATCGCCCAAGACACCATCAGGTGGAACGATTGGTCAGGAAAGCTTGCGGATATCAAAAAGATGGAAAGTAAGCTTCGATACCATATTAATGACAGTGGCCAGGAGGATTTCAGAGCCAAATTCACGGAACTCTTGAGCAGCGCGGAACGCTTCCGGCTAGAGATTGTGAATATGAGGAATGAAGTGATTGGCCAGCTACAGTCCTTGAGCAAAGATACGGGCGGTATTCGTACAATTTCTATGCGGACTCTGTGGTAGAAGTTCAAGCTTGAGCCGACCGAGTTGGATCTGAGAATATACCATGCTTACGTTGAGGAACTCGAGGAACTTGAACCAGATACTGGCCACGGGGTCTTGGAACACCAGGTGTACATGGATTGGGAGAACAATCTTCGAGGTCTTCTGATTTTGACTGCCCATCCCGGGGCTGGTAAGTCTGTTCTGACAAAGCATTTACGGCGTCGGCTATCGAACGGCAATCAAATCGTGTGCTCTTTCTTCAAAGACAAGCCTCTGGGCCAGGCAGACCCAAACAAAGCACTGTGCCACATATTCTATGATATCCTGAAAAACCTGCCAGAGTCATCAATTTCTACAGACTTGAAAGAGAAAGTCTACAAACTGGAAAAGAAGGAAATTGGACCGCAGTGCCAAAAGCTCTGGGAGATTATCAACACTATAAGTCAACACCGTTCTGTGACTATTGTACTTGATGTCTTGGATGAGTTGCCCCAGGTGGAAGAAAGGGTCTTATGAATAGGCTGGAAAGTTCTCACTCCGAATTTCCAGATGCCCAAGTGAGATTTCTTCTCACCAATCGCCCATCGAACGACGGGCCTGACGGGCTTAAACCTAACATTTTGGATCTCGATACTGATACAACTTGTCTCAAAGCCATACAGAAAGACATTCTCTGCGTTGCGAGGAGACAGCTGGGCCATTTTTCGCTGAAAAATGGTATTCGAAGAGCTGTTCCAAATCTTAGAGGGTCATAAAGACGAAACATACCTATTCATCAAGTTACTCTTTAAATAGCTGGAACAGACCCCAGAACTCAATCCGGACTGGGTTCAAATCTTCGAAGCTCTCCCAGCAACGGTGTCGGCAGCTTACAGCGCGTTTCTAGACCACGTCAAGTCGGGATTTCGGAAACTCGTCATACCAATGATCAAAGTCTTGCTTGTGGCGATCATACCGCTTTCGATTACAGAGATGAATATTGCGGTAGCACTGCAAAACCATCATAACCAGCCCCTGACAGATGATCTACCCTGCGTCCCAAATGACCATTGGATAGCCATGATACGAGAAAAATGTGGTTTTTTATTTGATATCGTTGAAGGCCGGGTCTACTTCATTCATAAGAGCGTGAAGGATTATCTGCTCAAAGAGAATGGAGAGATTCCGGGCCGGATGTCCAGTTGGGTGCGAGAAATTAATCTTCAGGACTGCCACAGAACACTTGCAAACGTTTGCATGAGATATATCTCCATGCCATTCATCGAGAAGAATTCTGGGTTCAAGAGTATTGATGACTACATGGGACTCAACACGATTGAACAAAGCAAATACCACAGATGGTGTAAAGACAATTTTGAGTTCGGCAATTACGGCTTTACTAACTGGATTGTTCACTTCAACCGAGGCTATGAAAACGATCAGGTTAAATCAGGCTTGCTGGAAAATGTCTTTCCCGAGTATACGCCAGCACTTGTCAAACTGACCATCAATATATTTTGCTGTTCGGCTTTCCCCGCCCATGTGGAAGCCCGAGAATTTCAAGAGGCTATCCAGGATCACCCAAGGAACGCTGAGATGCTCACTGCATTGAGTTCAAGCTTTGTAGAGAATTATTTCAGTCACGGTGGCTTGGAAAATCTGCTGTGTGGGATTGATTTGGTCAGGACTGTCATTCAACAAGCCCCTGAAAATGACATAAAGCGAGCCAAACGACTGGCAATTCTCGGTGAGGGGTTGCTTCGAAAATATGGTCGGGATGGCAAGAAGGAAACCGAGAAAGAGGCGAAGCGGTATTTGGATCAAGCCGTACTCAGCACACCGACTGGACATCCTGATCGGGCATACGTCTTAAATCAACATTCAAACTGCCTCTGGTCCCTCTGCAGTTTTCACTATGACAGAGAATATATTGACCGAGCAATTCAAGAGTCCAGAGAGGCTGTCGATATCACCAATAATCAGTTCGACATCTCTATGGCACTTGCATCTGTCCTGTGTCACCGTGGCTAACGCGAAGCGAAAATAGCGGATGTGGATGAGGCTATAGACATCATGAATGGTGTACTTGGGAAGGAACCTGAGGGCGCAGCTTACGGAAGCATTGGACGGCATGAACTGGGGAAACATTTTAGAATGAGGTATCAGTTGACAGATGATATTTCCGATCTCGTCAAGGCAATTGAGGAGATGAGGTTATGCGTGGAGCTCGCCCTCGACGACTTTCCATCAAAACCTTTCTCTCTTGAAATGTTGTCTGTGGTCCTTGCTATGTACGACGAAAGCAGCCAAGAGGATCATCTATCCGAGGCCATTGAGGCCATTGAACGGGCTATACGATTATTGGACATTGACCATCCCGATCACCAGCGTCTCAATTATAGTTACCGTCGCTTGCGGAGAAAGAAAGCAAGAGGATTTTCACTTTGAAATATATTGTGTTGACGATATCAGACTGGTCATCTCTGTAGACAAGAGTGCAATAACTTGTCAATCATATATTGTTCTGATTTTATTACTATGACTCGTTATTAGATATCTTGGCTACGAGTGGTCATTACGGCATTTCCTCAGGATCAATAATAGTTCGATCGGATGTTTGCATGTCATACACGCTTGGCCTCGCTTTATCAGACACATTTGAGAAAGGGGTAGGCTAAGAGCTGGTAAAGGTAGGTAGGTGATAGTTATGCACATTCTTTACGCATGGCTTAGGAGTCTCGATTTTTATATCAGAAATGTTACACTCTTAGTGCAAGGAAATTCTTCGTGAGGAGCTCTTGGCTATTCTCCGCCTGATGTTGGGCCAGCCGAGGAATGTACCAGATGGGAACTTTTTACTTAGTGGGTGGGTCTGCTCTATTTGCCTACGGTACATGGACATTTTTGTCTAAGCTTACTCTCTAAGCCTATTCTGCGTGTTACATAACAGGTAAGCTCTATGTCCAGTAGTGTAATACTTGTTTATAGAAATAGCATGGGTATAAGCACAGTATGATTGCCTTGTAAACCAATCCGAGTATATATAGAATGTATTTATAGAATGTATACAAAAGTACTGGAATGTGGAAATAGCCGACCTAATATAAAATGTCTTGGCATAAAAGCTTCTGACCAACTTCAAAGGACTTCCCCCTAATTCTGACTATTCATTCCAATATGGTACCCCGGCCGGATCTCAAAACATCGAGTCGAAATGTCTTCAAACCAGCCAATGATCGAACTCTGCGGTTTCGAGAAGATGGAACATTTCACATTGGAGTCTTTGAGGACTTGCATTTCGCCGAAGGTATGCGTTAAGCCAGCTAGAAAGGGGCTATTACTAATCCCCCATAGACGAGGAAAAAGACGAGAAGTCCAAAGAAGTGATGTCATATATCCTCGAGGAGGAGGACATTGACTTCGTAGTCATAAACGGTGACTTAGTGTCCGGCGAAAAAACCCAAAAAACCGAGTCGAGCAAATATATCGATTCGGTCGTTTCCCCGCTTGTCGATCAGGGGTACAGGTGGGCATCAACTTACGGCAACCACGACAGCGCGATTAATCTCAACCCGAAAGATGACATGTTAGAGGCCGAGAACAAATACCCCAACAGCTTGACGCAGAGTAGGGTATCCGGCCACAAGGCTGGAATAACGAATTATTACCTGCCGGTATTTTCACATGGACAGGCGAATACCAGCACACCCGCGCTACTACTATGGTTCTTCGATTCGAAGGGTGGATATGATTATAAAAAGCAAGGAGAAGGCGGGCCTCCTGTTAAGAGGCCCAGTTGGATTGATGAATCGGTAAAGAACAAAAAAAATCCCTGCTCAAACTACATTGCTCCAGAGGTACCGACTAACTGACTGCATCCAAGGTCGTTGACTGGTTCACCGAAACCAATTCCAAACTGAAAAAGGAGTATGACAAAGTCATCCCCTCGGTAGCATTCTACCACATACCGGCCCACGCGATGCTCGAACATCAACAAACAAAAGGCGTAAATCCAGATCTGACGCCTGGCGTGAATCGCGAACGGGTTCACCCGCAAGGAAGTATCCTATCGAAATATGACGGCCAGGACGTCAAGTTTATGAACGCGCTCCTTCACACCGAGGGCTTAATCGCAGGATTCAGCGGCCACGATCACCAAAATGATTGGTATGCGCCTCTAGCAGACAACGATCGCGACTTGAATGACTCAAACACTAACCAAACATTCTAGGTGCTTTAAATGGGACGGGTCTCTTGTCGACCACGGTCTAGCTGGGAATGGTATCAATATGTGCTACGGTCGGCATACTGGATATGGCGGCTACGGTAATCTAGACCGCGGTGCACGGCAGATCTTACTCCACGAGGGCAATCTTGCAAACGACACTGAGACGTGGATTCGATTGGAAGATGGGTCCGCCCAGGCTCGCGTGACATTAAACGCAACTTTTGGCCAGGATAATTACCGTTCTGTTGCTAATGGTGGTGGGAAGCACGATTCCTATGCGCAGGGCCCTTTGCTTCCTTCAGCTTGGTTATGGGTTCCGATTATGATACTCTCGCGGTGGAGCATGTAATGAGCACTTTGGGTTATGGGCCTTAGATTGCTATAGATCGCTACACTAGTCCTAATAAAAAATAATGATTAGATTGAGATAGTCGACATGAGAGTGAAGAGATGTAAATCTCCTGCCTTTCCTAGATCTTTCGGGGTCATTTTTCGAGATCTAAATGATGGGTTATATACAACTATATCACATGATCCATTTTTGTCATCTTCGAAGTATACAATACATGTTCTGAGGGTCTGGGTATGTACAGCCAGCAATAGCCATCACCGTTTACAGGTAGATGTAGCAGAAAGGACCAGAGACGGTGCTCATGATATCCCGCATAGCAACAGTCTCGCCACCAGCATAACCAATATCAAGAAGTGTGTCAAGAGTAGTGTTAGGCGAAGCAGGGCCGTTCAAGAAAGTAGCAGTGCCCGAAATCGCATTCAGACGCTTTCGAAGGTTCAAATTCTGCCAGATCCACCAAGTGCGATCAATCATACCGTGGTGGAGCCAGAAAGCAGGATCACCGGGGCTAACAAAGACATCACGGGAAGGATCACCACCCATGGAGTAGTGACCACCACCGTGGACACCGATGTTGCCGCTGCCGGGAACACCCTGCATGTTCATCTGGAAGTCATAGATGTCGTCGTTGCGCAGGATCAGGTCCACGATCGCGGTGAAGTTAGCGTAGTCCTGGACGATCTTGGTGCTCAGATCGCGCTTCAGGCAGCGGGGGTTGTACGCAAGCGGGTTGGCTGAGCTCCCGGATTGTCCGCCAGGCAGCATCAGCGCGACTGGGCCCAGGTTGACAGAGTAGTCTTTGAAGGGGCCGCTGGTGACGCAGCCGCCTCCGGTGCCGGTGGGAAGGTGGATGACCGGGTAGGTACCCAGGCTGAGCTCAATGTCGCCGACACTTTCGACGTAGGCACCGTTGCCGGACATCGAGGTCTCGCTGCCGTCGAAGACTTGGGATTTCTCCAGGTCAGCGGCGTCGGCGCCCCAGTTCCAGTAGCTGTGATCATGTTAGATATTGGGAATTTTTCAATGCCAAGGATCGTTAGACTTACGGGTAATCGCCGGTGTAGCCACACTCGTTGCGCATGGCTTCCTCGAAGTTCCAGATGTAGTATCGGTGCCACGCCAGGAAGGTTCCAGTGTAGTGGATACCCGTGGTCTGGTTGATATGAGTACCGACGAAGTCATCGTAACGGGACCGCACACCAGGGGCGATCTCGGAGGGAGTGAGCGAGGGCAACTTCTGGAGGCAAAGGACGGAACTGATGTAGGACTTCTTCTGGGTTGCAGAGAAAGTTCTCCAATCGCGACGAATGCGGAGGTTGCTCAATGAACAACCACCGCGCTTCTGAACATCCGAGTCGCTCGAGACACTCTCGATAGTGGCGTTGTATGCCAATCCAGCCAATTCGTCAAGCTGGGACTCGGCAACCGGCAGGGAGGTGGACGCCGCGGTGGGGGTCGCAGCGCTCGAAACAGCACTCTCCGTGGCAGCGGGCATAGCCAGCGCCTGTGCGAACAATGCTCCCAAAGTGAGAACGGAAATGGCAACCATGGTGGCGAGTTGTATCTTTGAACCTCTGAAAGACCAGGAAGTCCCACCCCAAAAGTTTAGGAGAAGTATTGATCAAGAAGGAATCCGGGCATGATCGGCGATTTAAAGGCTGAGTGCATATGCCAATCACCCCTATCTCGGATTTAATGCATCTATCATATTCTTTTTGCATGTATGTCCCCATGGCCCCTCTGCTGGGACCATTTAGGGCACCGGGCCATGGTCCGCTTTTCCCCACCGCCGGGAGATGCCGGCAATTTACACACAATTTCCATTTCCGATGATCTTTGCTTCCCACTTAAATCTCTGGCTCACGGACCGACCCTTTGATACCCTGGAGATCACCCATCCTCATGGATACAAAAGGACCCTTGAATGATAAATCTGAAGCCTGTCTGCAGAATCAAGCCACCTCGTGGTACCCTTGTTCCTTAGCGACTTGGCAACTTCATCTAAGCGACAGACCCAATCACATCTGGGTAAATCAACTTCGGTTCTAAGCCAATCTCGGAATGCCACCCCGGTACCCTAACTATGGAAATTCAGAGGGAACTTCCCGTTGTATCCGAGGTGCAATTTCCTCCAGGTGCATTTCTTACCGATGGTGCCATGACTGCTCATTGGCCATGTTTCGAACAACCAACTTATATCCTCGATGTTGGGTCCGAGACATGTTCTGGAACCTCTTTTTTTTTCAGATTCAGGTCGGCAAGCTCTCCTTTCGGCCATTCAGAAGAACGATGCGCGTAAAAATAAAACTCAAAGCCATTGTCGGCATCCAAGCTAGGCATAAATAGAGTGCTCTAAGAAGATAAAACTGGAAATTGGTCTGTGGCGTTTAGTAGAGTGTATATTAAAAAAATAATAGGGAACCCCATACGAGACTCACGCCACTTTCTCATTCCTTGGCTTCGAAAGCCACAACAGTATGGAGTAGAGGTAGGACTATCTGTTAAACATGCTAACGCTTTTAATGACCCTTTCAAATTTGCCCTAGTATAATCCCTGTTCGATTCTTCTTTCCAATGCATAGTCCCTAACTCCTACGACACCCATGTCGGACAGTGCTAATATCGGAGGCGCTAGCCTACGAGATGTTGACCAAGGACCTAGAATTATCATAGCCACGGCTATCACTACTGGCGCCGCATTACTCACTGTTTTGGCTCGGTTCTACGTGCGTGTGTTCCTTATTCGAAATGTCGGGTGGGATGATTATACTATGGCCCTGACGATGTTGCTGTCTGTCAGTGGATTCGCCATTATTGTCCCCGAGGTAAAATATGGTGCAGGCAGACATATGGTCTTTGTCCAAGAAACGGCCGTAACGGCGATGCATTTGAACTATGCCACCCAAGGTATTTACCTGTGGGCCATTGGCTTGGTCAAAGTATCAATTGGGCTGTTTTTGCTTCGTTTCGCACCCCGCAGAGGGTATAGGATCTTTATCTGGGTTGTCTTGGGTGCGTCAAGGCTTTTATCCCTTCTTTCTGTGATCCAGTACTGACGAATCTGACTCATTGTAGTCCTCATGGCGCTCTACACTGCAATCTGCTTTTTGGTGCGTAACGCATCCCCCACATTCGATCACGAACAACAGTTAACAGCTTATTGCAGACTCTTACCTTCGAGTGTCAGGATATCCGAGCAAATTGGGATCCCGCAGTGAAATCGAAGTGCTTTAGTCGCAAACAACTTCTAGCTTTGAGTTATACAAACACTGGTGAGATTGACACTGCAAGGCTATGGTTAAACATTTGCTAACTTGAATAGCACTGAATATTTTGACTGATCTGATCTTCGCGGTTCTACCGGTCTTTATGCTACGGTATGTTTCATGGACATTGTTTTTTTTTTAGGTTGAGAGGCTAATACAATCATTGACAGTCATCTTCAAGTCAACCGCCGAGTCAAAGCCTCCCTAATCTGTATCCTGGGCCTGGGAGTTTTGTGGGTTACTTTGGACCCAATCATATCTTAAACCCATGCTAACTCTTCTACTTTCTTCAGTGCCTGCGCAGCCGCCTTCGTCAAACTCTCGATCCTACCCAGCTACGGCCAAACCGGCGACTTCCTCTGGGACTATACAAACCTCACAATTTGGGTTGTGTAAGTTGTCTATACTATCCCAAGCACCGGAAACCACCCTTTTAAATCCCATACTAACCAATAACAGCACAGAATGCAACACCGGTATCATCGCCGGTAGCCTCCCCACCCTCAAACCACTGTTCAAGAGAGTCCTCGGCACGTACGGCTCGCATACGAAAACCACCCGCGAGTACTTTGGCAGCAAGAAATATAAAATGCAGTCAATGTCTCGATCAAGAGGGCCACCAGTGCAATCCCGAGCGCATAAAAGCGGCAATCTCAGTATCGCCGAGTTCGACTCTGATCCAAACACTCAACACTCCCGGATCGGGTCTACAACAAACTCGACCAAGTACTCTGGAAGTCAACGAAGCAATTCCAGCGAGGAGCGGATATTACCTATTGAGGGCGATGGAATTGTTTGCACAACGGAGGTCATGGTTTCGCGAGAGCAGAATCCTCCAGAGATGCCGCCCAACCCTCCCATTTTGCCCAAATTGGGCAGGATGGGATCCCTGAGTGGCTTGCGCGTCAAGGCGGATGATAGGGTTTAGCTTTGTATTTGGAGTTATGTCAATACGAGAGGATTATGTATATTAATACCCAACAGTACGTGGGCAAATAACGTGTGTATAAATGGTAAATCAAAGCGGCTGTTGTCCATTTACAGATTTTACTCAAATGGTTGGCAATACACATCCAGCCAATCGTTTTGGTCAATTCCAGGGACTTCTGGCATATCAAGGATAAAGTCCATATCGGTGTCGTTCCAAGATTTGCTGTCGCCCGAGGCACATTCATTGATGGCGTTGTATGCCAACCCAGCCAAGTTGTCAAGCTGGGAGTCAGGAACCGGCAGGGAGGTGCATGCGGCGGTATGCCTCGTAGTGCTCACAAGGGCACTTTCCGTGGCAGTGAGCATAGTTCATGCCTCGCAGTGCTGACTTGGATGTCACGACAAGGGTATGTGTTTCCAGCACTCGTCACCTTTGCACAGGTTGACTCAAGGATCTCGTTTAAAGAATGTCGGGCAGATCTGGTGATGACATTGTTGTCCTATAATTCTTGTTAGAGTTTGTGTCTTGTAACACGTGTGATAGAGGGAAAGCTCACTTAGGGTCATGCGCTTGTTACAAGAAGCCCGGCAACATATCCGCCGAAAAATACATACGAGATTGCTGCCTCGTGTATATGTGAAGCTTGACTTACTGCAGTATCAAGATGGATTTAGGTAGATAAGGGGTCATCATGAACCTCAAGAATATTGAAAGAACTGTGGAAGTTCTCAGGAGGGTGAAATAATAATATATAGATAGATGTAGGGGAATGTAAGGGAAAGACTAGAGGGATGAAGTGAGAAATGGGTGTTCGGGTAAGATGTGGAAGAGAAGAGAAAGAACAGGGGGGTGGAGAGAGAGTAGGCGTAAAGTGCGAGGTGATTGAAAGGCAAACAGCATTGAATCTTTCACTCAAATTTGGGTGTCATTGATGTTCTATGCAGTAACACCATTACCAATGGTTTCAAATTTTCTGTAAGCATGCGTTTACTTCGTTGATCTACATACACACGTTGCTATTACACTGCATTTCTCGACGACTCACATTTTGTTGGACCAAACGGCCAGCATAGCGTGGCAGCTCTAGGCGCTAAAGGTCATCAACCCGGTAAAACAAGTAGCATGGGCGAAGACACAGGCATTGGACAAGTCCGTGTGGGGATCCAGTTGGTACCCGCAATGAGTTTTACGATATGGAGCAATCGACAATTACGGTCTTCACAAATGATATACTAAGCAATTCAAGTTCAGCCACACAGAAAGGTAATTCGTATTTGGATATCTCTGTGGGAGATAAGTCTTGGTATGCCGCCAATACACAGTAGTATTTCAATTCCACGAATAGAATACGTTAGCTCATGGTGATAATCAGATACGACAAAGTTCAGAAGCCAGTCATAAAAATAAAACTAGAAGAAAAAGGCCACCGGGAGCTCTCTCCATTTCACATCCACGCACACCCAGGTATAACAGCGCCCCTCCCAGCAACAGCCTTCTCGTCAAACTTCTCAACATACCACTTCCGTCCCCAGCGTGCGTGGGGCAACATGTTTGTGATCGCGTTGGCTACAAATACCACAGCAGGCAAAGGCAACGGCACAGCAAGCTTACCAGCCGCCCACGCAGCAGGCACCAACCAAGGGGCAAGATGCAGCGGGGGAGTGATGGCCACAGAAGACGCCGTGGCAGACGCAGGAAGGACGGAGAATGGGACAACCGCTGTCCCAACGAGAGCAAATCCAATCCACTCGAGCCACTCGAAGACGTAGTGCGGATACAAGATGTATCGGAAGACACCACTGGCAGGTGGGATGACGTAGACTTTGTGGAACTTGTTGCGGCTGCCCCGTGCTTCGCCTCCGGTCAGAATTTGATCATCTGTCTTTTTGGCAGCGCGTTTTTCGGCTTCTTCGCGTCGGAGTCGGAACAGGGTTGTCTCTGAGTAGATATTGCCAGCCATTCCGATGGCAAATAGGATTATGCCCACGGTGGGGAGTAGGTCTACCACCCCAGGGTGAGGAGGTGGACTTCCGCTGCTAGCTGTGTGGAAGCTTGGGATGGTCGGCACAGTATATCCGCGCAACCAGCCGGCCAGACAGGCTGAATTGAACCAATTGAAGAGCATGGCGAATGACATGATGGCGACATGGATTGGGGACATGCTGGGGGCTGAGAAGAAAGGGGAGATGATAGCGCGGTTGAAATAGTGAGTGCAGTACAGAGTTACAACGAGGATGTTGGACATGGGGAGATCAGTGAATGACGGTGCATATGGAGATGGGGTGACCATGCTGTATATCAAGTTGATAGGACCGACAAGCTCCATGGCAGACCAGGCGATACGTCCTGGAATGTTGAAGATGGACTGTGAAGAGGTTTTGCCTGCTGGATGCCAGGACAAAATCCATTGAACTACTGTCATCTAAATGCACCGAGTCAGTCTTGTCACATCCTCTAGGGCTTCAGGGTCCTGACCAGGGGGAAGTATTGGAAACCGCATATAATAGGTTGATATGCAGCCGGGGTTGGAGGGAAGAGCTCTGCGATGGCGGGCATAGCTCCCCAACAGGTAGATATAGTTGCACCCATATCGAGTGTCGAAGAGAAGAAGATTGGAGATCGCGGAGGATAAACAAGAAGCTTAAAAGCTTGGGAGGTGGAAGGCGGTGGGTCCCGGATAAGGAGTTACACTTGGCCTGCTTCTTCCTCTGCTTTTATTTTTTCTTTCTGTCCTCTATATCTGATCAAAAACAGCCAAATGTTGTCGGGCATGCTGATAAAGAGGACAATTTGGGGGAAATCGTTCCTCAATTGCCAAATTTACAAAGTGTACTACTTTGAAGCGGAGAATGTAGAAAGGTCATGCAAACGAAAACCCCACGGTGGTAAGACAGGAGAAAATTGCACAGATTAAGCAAGTTGGCGACAGGACTAGGTTCGTTTGATTCTCTATTCGACAACAAAAGGTACATATGTAAATAACCCAGGGCACAATTCCACAGAAACGGAGTGTAGCATTTTGTCCCGTGAACGTTAATGGAAATGCCCCTAAACAAGCAAGCAAGCTTGATTTGATCATAAAAAGGCCCGGCTCCTTAATTCGATGTGTCCATCTGATTCTGATCATGCACCATTTCTCTCCGTTTGCCAGCCAGTTTCTCTGTCTTGAACGCCTCGATCTTGGCCTTAAGATCGGTGTCTAGAAAGGGTGGTTAATAGTGGAATAACAATTGGGAAATCAAATTGCTTACCAGGCAACACATCTTCCATCTTCAATGGGACACGGTTGAATGGATCGTGAGGGTCACTGAGGAGGTGCGAGCGAATTGTGGCGCGGTCGATGGAGATCCGCGAGCCGGGAAGGATGACCGGGTCTTCCATGAGCGAATACATAAGAGGATCTAAAAAGATTAGTAGCTGTCGAAAAGTAGTATCAGACAACGGGGACGTACCGAGGAACTCTTCGGGAATCTCGCCCATGTCTTCCTCCGCTTGATCATCAGCCTCCTTGGCAGCTTGGACCTTCTTCTGCAGCTGACTCCAATAACGCAGCTGCTCAGGGGATTTCAGCGACCACTTTCGGATGATGTCAGCTGCCTTCTCGAAATTGGCTGGCTTGTAGGATCGGCCATCACGGGCAACAGCCAAAATGAAGTTCTCCTTGTTGATCAAGTTAAGATAGACGTCAACAATCTCACTTAGAAGAGCGCGGGGGTTGAAGCCATATTCTTGCAGGTTATCCACTCGGAGGTTAGAGCTCTTAGGCCCCACCATTGCATCGAGGTTGTAGTCAAGCATGTCTGCGAGTCGCTGCACAATTTCAGGCATTGTAAATGAATCGGCAAGCGCCTCGGTGAACAGTTTGAGCATTGACACTGTTTGGTTGGTCAATTGCATGTAGCTTTTGGCGCTGCGCTGTGCTGATGACAGATGCTCTTCCCGCTGCTGGCGGGTTGCAGCATCCATTGAGTGGCCCTGTGTATTCAGCTCGGTCTGGGTGTTGTGGATAGTCTTGAAAGCACCAAAGGATTCATCAAGTACGTAGGTCACATCGTTAAGCAAGAGATTCACGAATCGGACGAAGAAATCCAGGTTCTGGTTGGCTTGAAGGGACAACTTCTCCCGATACAGAGTGTTCGGCCAGATGCATTTGATGATCTGGAAGATCTCGTAACGGATGTTGAACTTGTCGTAGAATTGCGAATGTGTTCCCGTGAACTCTGCCTCGATGTAGAATTTCATGATCGCATGGAGGAGATGCTCGTTGGCAAATGGCATTGAGTTAAGCAGGTCGACCAAAACACCACTAGCGCCACCAGGGCGTTTCCAGGTGCCTCGGAACAGAATAGAAATCAGTCCAGCCTTCAGGTAGGGGTTCTTAATATAGGCGGAGCTCTCCAGGAATGTGATGCACAGCATTACCAACTCATCGCCCTGGGTGGCGGTAATAATCTGTGGCATGCACCACATGATAAACTTGAAGTTGCTGACAACGTCCTCCAAGAAGTACTCTGGTAGACATTTGAAGACTTCGGGCTGCTCCTCTGGAAGAGGAAGGGTAACCTGTTCCTTGGGGAAGTTCTTTCCCGAGACAAGTCTCAAAAGCCACACAGTAACATACCGCATGAATAGCATGGAACGAGCCTGCCATTGCTCGTCGAACAACACACCCTGCAGACTGTACTTGAGGGCAATACCCAAGTCGAGCTTGTCTTTGTACTTCTTCAGGGCTGCATCAAAGGTGCGCAATTGCACTGGATTGTTGAGCCAGCGAACCCGCTCAAGTTCGAATTTAGTGATTGTACTCTCCATCTGTCGGACATCTTTCTCCAGTTGTTCCATTTTTGACGTCAATGATTCACTACCATAGTGGTGGGCCGCGACAGTCAGGAAAAAGATTTCGGTGATAAAGTTTGAGGTTCCTTCGGCCTTCTTAGAATAGAAAGCGTCGGAGGCGTGCTGATCGGCATTGATCTTAGTCTCATCCCGCATGTCAACGCGAGAATCGCGATGGAGATAATCCGCATCAATTCGGTCGATTTTGGTGAATGCTGCATCCATAAACGGCTCACAAAGCTGGTCCAGGCACGTTGTGATATTAAACATGAAGCCGTCAGACGACACTTGTTCAGGATCAACCTGCATCGCCCGTCGTTTGTGATTGATATTCATAGCAGTGGCGAACCAATCCAAAACACGATCCCTAGCCTCTTTCGAGGCCCGGATCAGGTGGTTGACAACATCCAGGAGATCAGAGCTAAGCATCTGCTGTGTCATTCGAAGCGATCGCTGGGCGTTAGAAATGTATGCCTGGTCCCGGGTCTTAGGGCTAGAGAAATAAGACAAGGTGACATTAGCTTGAAGG